ATCTCTGGTTGAGTTCTTGCTAGGGCTGATGAGACATTACCACCGTTCACATGAGTCCCCTTAGAACACTGACCTATCTCTGGTTGAGTTATTGTCGGAATGTCGTTGGAATTCTCCGACAAGTGAGTACTTGTTAGGGCTGATGAAATGTTATTACCGTTCACATGAGGCAATTCATTTGTCTCGTCACGAGGGACAACGTCTGCGTACTTATCAAAAATCTTACAACTTTTACGTTCCTTACGACCAACTCTTTGGCCTCGCTTACGAGATTTCGAGCTGCATGAATTATGGTTTGAGTATCTCTAAGAAGATGATGATGAATCATAGCTAAGAAGTAGAGTAAACAGTTTAAAATCTTACCGATATTTGTAATTAACGCGAGGGTGCTCCTCTAAATCAAAATTTAGTAACTGTTATACATATTGAAAAACATTATGGTAAGAGTTCATAATCATGTCATTTTTTTTAAAGAAAAAATTATTGAAAATTTTATTTTTTGAACCCGCTTAAAATGCGTGCGTATCAAGTTTCATATATACTAACCCCATTTTTGAATGCATCAGGTTTCACGGAGACATCGAAATTCGGATGACCATTCTCGGACAGCTAAAACATGCAAGAGTACTTAGCTTGTTAGTTAATATATATCAACGAAACTTGAAAGAGTTGTGTATACTTAAAAAATACAACGTACCCGAAAATTAAAGTCAAATAAGTCATGCGATGCCTTCAGATGATGTTTCACGCCCTGAACATACATAAGACATTTGTGTGTTTACAAAATGTATACATTTGTTGGACTAAATGAGCATGAAATATTTAGATACTTATTGTTTAAAAAAATATGATTAGAAAGCTTGATTTTAATTAGTGCTTACCACGAGGCTTCCACATTTCATTGGGCAGAAGGGACAAGAAGTCTTTCCCACAACTGTATTTTAAAATGTGTGTAGATAATAAAATATCCAGAAAAAAACATAGAGAGAGACAATATTTTAGGAAGTGAAACAACTAGGTAAAGATTTACCTTGGGATCTCAGTATTTCGTTATTAGAATTCATATAATTGAAAATTAATCGCCCACCTGGATTTATCCTAAAAATAATAAAACTACAGCATGAGAAGATAAAAGCCATTCATCTTAACTAGGAAATAGAAGAGAAAATATCTGAAAATTGCACAACACAAATTTTTTTTTTTTGTTTGAAAACTGATACCTTAGTTCTAAAAAGTTTAGGAAATTTTCATAAAATTTTATGATTGCGATGATAATTTTGAAAAAGAAAACACACATGTATAACGTTTTATAGAATATTTTATTAGAAGATAAAACTAATATTAGAGAAGAGATTCATACATCTTATTTTTCTTCGCCTGCATTTTGTAGTTCAAACATCTTGGAAGGAAACGTGGCTGCATGACAAAGAACAAAATAATAATTGAAAAAAAAAAACTTGTAGATACAATAACACATTTACTTCCACAGTTGCAATAAATTGGTTCTGACTTATGAGCTAGAAACAGTAAAAATGTTATAGGAACACAAAAAGAGAGAAAGAGAAAACATACCCTGTCTCGTGAGAAAGATTGAAGAATGTGGTAAACGGTAACAGGTTTACCATATAGTAACTCAAGTTCACTTTCCTCCTTCGTTAAGGGCCTAGTACCAATCATCCCCGTAGCCATCTGCTTCAGTAGTTTCAAGCTGCCACACAAGCTATTTAGGAGCAACGAAGAACCAATAATCGTTAATAAACATAAATAAAGTAAAGAATATTGGAGTGACTTATAATTTAGCAAAAAAAAAAAAAAGAAAAAAGTGCAGTGACCGATATATATGCAGTGCCGGTCAAATGTTTTTAGATGCCCTAAGCAAAATTTTAATAAATTGTATTTTTATGTTTTTATCTAATAACACACACACACATGTTTATAAACCATTTATTAAACCTAAACATGCAATATGGTCCCAGATGTAAACTATGGTATAGTTTGTTGACATAGACAAACTGAGAAATTACAAAATGATAAACAAACAAGATATTTGCAAAAACTAAAAATTAATATACAAAAATATGTACAAAAGGAATATAACTTTTAATTATATGAATTCCTTGCAAAGTCAGATAATGGAAAAAAAAATAGGAGACATATTTTGAAACTCATACATGTTTATAAACCATTTATTAAACCTAAACATGAAATCTTTAATGGATTCATTTTGCTTTAAATTAGTATAGAGCAATTGACAATAAAGTAAAAAACCGTTCGTACGGATTTAATCCGTAAAAAATACGTATCCGTTAAACAAATCTACAAGTTAGAGAAAATTCGATTTACTTTCCGATCTTGATGTGCAGTTAAGAGCAGTTTACCTTGTGTTTCTTTCACACAAACAAACGATTAGTGCGGTTGAGATCTTCTCTTATCCGCGCCAAACTTCTTTTTAATGTTGTTGCGGCGGATTTTGCAGATAAATGGAGGATATTTATAAGACATAATGGCATACCTAAACCCTATATTTCTATGTGATTGGACCTTAATTATCTTTAATTTTATAATTATATATTAATTGTAGGCCCAATATAAATCCATTAGAATTTCATAGAATAAAGAGCCGGTTCTGAATTCAACCTTCCTGAATTTGGATTTAATTTTTAGTATGTTACTATTAACTATATTATGATACATTCCATTAAATTATTTTGTTTTATCAAAATAAATCACAGACTTTAGACAAATTAATTCACATTTTAAAATAACTACAATAATTTCAATTAAATAACTTATACTTAAAAATCAAATACTCAAAAATTGCTTGTGAAAAAGAAAGAGGGCAGTGTAAGACATTATCCCCCAAATATTAAATGCATTAAATATTTAGTTCTGATCTGGCTTTTGATCTATCAAAATGTGGCCGAATATATTAAAAACTAGGAAATACAGCTTCAACATTTGCCATTTTACTTTTGTTAGACGACTATCAAATAGTGCTGCACATATGCTGCAAAAATGGTCCACCAAATGGTGTTTTCTCCACCAATTGTATTTATCCTTCTAATTTGTTAACCCCAATCTTGTATTTCACAAGTTAAACAAAATTCCAACATTTCCAAAAATACAAAAGCACTGCTTCAACACCATAAGGTCCACAACCATCGGATGCAACACCGAAGGCAACCCAAATGCCATTTTTGAAGGCTTAAAGAACACTTTGATTAACCATCCACGCTTCTAGCATCCTGGTAAATACTATGTACACTCATGTTATTATTATTTATCCTTCAAAACGATATTCCCTCATTTCATGTTATGATGTTTCTGATGAAAACATTACTATTATTCTTCATTAAAATGATTGATTTTTTCTAATTTATAATCCATGCTCAGAAAAATAAGAGAGAAGAATCATATGGACAATATATATATGGAAACTGATCAGAATTCTTACATTGAAAACTCAACATATCATTTATTTATTTTCTATAACTTACACCATTTACAAAGAATATTTTTAACCAATATTTCATGATATTTATCTTTAAAGAATAATAAAACAAATTGATTCTTTATCAAATTCAGGAAGAAACAATAAGTGCACTCTTTTTCATTGTTATTTCTGTTGTTTTTATATGGTTATCAGTTAGATCCGTAATGTTTTTATCTGACTAGGAACAATTTTCTTATATATACTTTTACAGGAGACGGTCACGGTGAGCACAAAGTAAAAGCTAAGTGGATTCCTACAAAAGTAAAAGTTGAAGAGCATGTAACTGTTCCACATATAGATCCGAACATTGAAAATCCTGATCAGTTTCTAGAGGATTATACAACAAAAAGGCTATTTTTCCATTGGATAAGTCCAAACCTTTATGGGATTTTCCCTACTGAAATCTATTGCTGTGGCTAGATTTCACCATTCTCTAGGTGATGGAATGTCTCTTTCGCTCGCTTGTACTCGAAAAACATGCGACCCGAGGTACTACCTAATTTCGTAGTCCCAAAAAAAGCAATGTGACACATGCTTGTTGATCATTGGTTACTTGGTTTTTGTTGATAGTAAGACTAGTGTTTCACACTTGTGTTGAAATTTGCAAGTCCATGGTTATCGTCTGCTTTGCGGATAAAAAGCAACACCTCTTAAGAGTCAACCAGGTGCTACAGTTATAAGTTTTTTCATCTAATACTAATTTGGATGATGTGAAAATGGTGAAGAATGCGATGAATATGGTACATTACTTAATTAATTTCTTATGATTTATTTAAATACTTTTGTAACGAATTGATTTGATTGTCTCTTTTTTTATTTGGACGGTGAATGATGTTCTTGTTGGAATTGTGCAAGCTGGCCTTTCACGATATTTTGAGTCAATTATACGGTGAGTTACTATAATTTTTTTTCTCTATTGTTTCACGTTTGAGTTAATAATTTTTTACCATCAAATGAACTTTACTAATCCAGCAGATTTGGAAAAATATTCGAAATAAAAAAAATCCTAGAAAAAAGTCTCCACGGCGTTGTTTTCTCCAACCTGTGTTCAAAAATATATATATCGAGGTATAAAAAAAATCATCTGAACTTTTCTTAATTTTTGTAGAGAGTTAAAATCTATTTTTACATACGTTATTTTCTTATAACGAATAATAAGATTTGGCAAAGATGATGGAGAAATGTTCAAAATCAAGATGGGGAAACTCAATTGGCTATGTGTTTGTTATCTCTATGGATAAGATTAGAAAAGGATACGCTTTACATCCGACAAGCCAATATTACGATGGATCGCAAGAAACTTTCTCCCGAAACTTTTCCTTTGCATTACTGAAGTTCACCATGGTTAGGGTTAAAGGTGAGATTAAAAAACACCAAGAATACTATTACATGCCAAATCATCAATATTTTTGCATTTTTGTTTTTTTAAAGCCCACCAAAATCATCCAAACATCTTCAAAAACCACTTAAATCCCACCAAACTTAGAAATTCGTAAACCTATATTTCTTAGTTCAATACCCTAGTCCGAAATTCACACACACACACACACACACATATATATATATATATATATATATATATATATATATGTACATATGGAAAATCAGGCAGTCAAGAATCTCGTAACAAGTATTTTTAATTGCACATCAGTAATTTTGGCAAATGTGGTCGGTCCAGATTCAGAAATCAGCTTTTCGACCACCATATATCTTAGATTGCAGCAAGTGCGTGTGGTCTGCCACATGTATCATTCACAGACATAAAAAAGTATGATAAAAATCATCTATTTTATTAAAACTAAAGTATAAATTAAAATTATTTGAAAACATGTATAATAATATAAAGAAAATAGTATAGATTTATTTGGAAACATGGATAATAGTATCATTTTTCATTAATATTTTTAGTAATTTCATTAACATGGATAGTCGTGTTCTTTTTTCATAATAAATAGGTTAAATTATTTATATAATTAAGTGTGTTTAATATAATATATTATTATAAAATCCGATATATATATATATATATATATATAATTGATTAGAAAAACATAAACTATTTTATATAATATAGTTATGGATTTTAACATATTAAATGAAGTAATTATTTATAAGCAAATGCTTTGTGCCTTCTGCAACTCTATTGTGGAAAAAAGAGATCATCTCTTCGTTGGTTATCGTTACTCTGAAGAGATATGGAGGTATCTGACAATGAAGCTACTTGGTCAGAGATACACATACGAGTGGAGTAGGGTGGTAGATTTAGTGTCTACAAGGGTACTGTCAACTAAAAACCAATTTCTGCTGATATGTGTCTTTCAAGTAATCAAGCCCTTGTTCACACAATCTGGTTTGAGAGAAATAGAAGAAGACATATATCACCTCATCAGAATCCAAGGACAATCATCAAGTTTGTAAACAAGTAGGTCAGAAACAGAATAAGTTCACTATGTGGAAAAGGAGGGAAATATCAGACCCTAGCAATGGCAAATTGGTTTTGACTCACGAGCACAGAGTTGAGTTTTTTTTTGTTTCACAAAACAAAAAATCTAGATTTAAGCTGCATTAGTTTGTAAAAACGTCTTTTTTTTGTTTGAATAAGTTTGACATTCTTCAAAAAAGAGATACACATAACTATATATATATATATATATATATATATATATATATTCTTTAGAAATGAAGTACATCCATAAATTTCATTTATATTATATATATATATATTACATAATTCAATGTTTAGATATTATTGTACATTATTATTTATGTGAATAAAATAAATATAAAAATTTTAATTATATATTGCTAACAATTTGCGGATTGAAATTTTACATGTTATTGCCAAATGTTATAATAAATAGATTAATGTACCAAAACATATTAAAAATTTGATTTTTTCTAATATATTTTCAATAACAATTATAAATAAAATTGAATAAATATATTATAAGAAAAATAAAATAAAATTCCAATTTCAAAAACCAAATCAAATTATGGTTTTCATATTACAGAATATATTTTAAATATAAATATGTGATTAATTATATTATGGTGTGCGTAAAATATGATTAAGTATATGATTAATATATATGATAGCACATATAAAATATAATTAGTTATATGAGAAATGACATGTATATAATAGTGAAATAGCATATTTTTTTTAGAAAATACATTAGATCAAACTCTAATATTGATTAAAATACATACATAATGTAATTAGCTAGAAAACTAATTATTTGTTGTCTTGTTTGAAAAGGGACTGACAATACATATAGAAATTTTAAAGAAGCTTATCATCAATCTAGCTTTCGATCTCAATGTGGTACCTCATCCTCATCACCTTTTTGTGATCTCTTCATCGAATTTCTTCAGTTCAAATCGGCTGTTGTGAAATTGGATGTTTAACTAATTTCGCTCTAAAGTTTAAATGCATGCTTGTCGGAATTTAATATGAAAATATACTTTCCTTAATCTTATGAAAACATTCACAATACTCAGTACACAAATTTGGCTGATTCTTGGTGCATCTCCGTGGAGATCTTTTACTATTTTCATTATATTATTATTCATGTATATATCTGGAAACAAATCATATGATTATGTACCATACCAAAAAAAAAATAAAAAAAAATATATATATGGTCATTACATAGGCCATACAACTTAGAATAATTTCACCATACATACACGTGTAAATAAATAATGAGTGAAATAGTTAGTTGATAAGTGAAATTAAATCAGTATAAAATTTAAAATATAAAATCAAGTAACAAAATATATATTAATAAAATAGTTATCATCATTACATTTCGAAGAAGAAAAAGATCGCGACATAATGTAACGGTATGATAGGAAGAAGGGAATCGGATAAAGATGATCAAGAGGGAGAGAAAGATCATCTGAGAAACCTGAAATCCTTGGAGATGAGGTGAAGATCAGAGATAGAGATACAAGAAGATGAAGAATAAGATAATTGTTTTTGTTGATTGGATGAAACAAAAGCTTACATATAATTGTTTATTAAACCAATAAACCAAACACATAAATAAACCATTGGTATAAGAGACCGGTAATAATCCTATGACACACAATCACAATCGTTGCCATTAGCATTAGCTTTAGAGTTGGATGCTGCTTCTTGCTTTTTCTTGTGCCTTCTTATTGTGCCCATAGAGGTGGATGCTGCTGCTTCAGCGGCTTCCGCTGACGGCTCTTCTTTTGCTGCTGCTGCTGCTTCTTCTTCTTCTTCACGTGCGTTCTGTAGGATGATACTGCATTTATCCATGGTCTTAGCGCATATCAGACCGTAGTTCCACAGTGTGATCGTGAACTCTATCCACTGGCTGCTCAGTCATCAACAGAAAAATGTGATATTATGCTCGATGTTGGCATCAAATGATGAGTAGATGGAAGACTGTTACCATATGAATTTAGGAAGGATCAGCTCTTTAGCATGAAGTTTTACGAACTCTTCACATGCTAAAGGAACATGCTCATCTGTGAACTCACTGCCCAGAAGTAACCAAGGCATAACAAAGTGATTTTAGTTATGGATCACTTTTATCTCAAATATTTCTTGAAACATAAAATGCAAGTAGAATCATATTGCTACCTTTTCCTTCTCACATATGTGTTACAAAGCCACATGAATCTCTTCTCCTCATCGCTCACATCCAACCGATCAAGCTTCTGCCATATTACGAAAACAAAGGCCTATGGTGTAAGTTATGTTCTTGATAACAATTCAATGAAAATTTTTAAAATAAGAAACAATGAAATACAATGCGTTCTTGTTCATCTTTTAAATCTTCATCTTCAATTTTGCTGTCCGCATCAGACAGTACTTCTTCCAGAGTCATTGGCTTCAAAGTGCAACTGATTTAGTTAGTATAATGTGTCAGGACACGCGACAATCCATATTGAAAATTACAAAACAAAACGAGTTAGAGTTCTAAAAAAAATTAATTTTAAAATTCACGGATCTCACTATTATCTTAATAGACAACTCTTATCCTTGTGTAAGAGCCAAGGCTAAAGTTCTTACACTATTCGCGGGTTCCAATGACTTGTGACGACCTCCAATTAATTCTTTATTTATTTATTATTATTACTTTAAAAGACAAAAAAAATTTAAAAAAAATCCTAAGAATCCTAAGAGCTAAGGGTTAATGATGTCTTAGAAACAATAATATAAAGAGAAAAAACATTTGAAAACCGCACAGTTTATATTAGGTGTGGGACGGATCTAAATAATCGGAAATCTAGAATATTTGTATTCGCCGGATCCTTCATTTTAGTATCCGGATCTGAATCCATGTCTTCCGGGTATCCAGGTTTTTAGATATCCGTCTTGACATTGTGATATCTGCGGGTATCCAGATTAAGATCTGAATCCATAAAAATATTAACAATAAAATAATTTTTTTCTTAAAGTACAAAAATTCAAAAATAATACATAAGTTAGATAAATACATAAATTATTTTATGTATAAATATTAATATACTAAATATAATATTAATAAAATTAAAGTTTAATATATTTTAAATATACGGATCCAGATATCCGAAGTAGATCCGGGTCCAATTTGGATGGATCCGAGATTTTACTACTCAGATCCACGCATTCTAGATATTTTATTTTTGGAGCAGATCCGATTCCGGTTTAAACGGATACATATATCCTGGATAATAAACTTTAGGCCTAGTTTATATATGTACCTAACTCAAGATAAAATTACGTGAGACTATTTTGCATCACTCAAACCTAACATTAAGATACATTCTTGAAATTTACCTTATAAAAGGCTTGAGATATTACTGGAATTTTGTATGCGGAAGTTTATCATGTGCAATATTGTGATGTGAGTGTGCCATTTAAGGAGAGGTTATATATCTATTTATAAGAGAGATTTCACAAGCTTGGTCATTAAGTAATTTAGACATTTGCCATTAAGTTTACTAAGTTTCAGCCATTTGTCACTAAATTATCATTGGTTAATCAATAAGTTTACTGAACTTAAGCCATTTGTCACCAAATTAATTAGTTTAATTACTAGGGAATTTTTTTTTTCAAATCATATACTTTATATCTAATTAAATTAAATATTTTCAAAATGACAATAATGTCCTTAGTTTTAATTAAAATTACAATTAAAAAACTAATAGTTAAATATTAAAATATAATAAATAATTAAAGTGTTGTAAAAAATAAAAATAATTAAAGTAATTAAAATAAAAGAAAACATTAAAAATTAAAGTGTTGTTAAAACAAAACAAAAATTAAAGTGTTGTAAAACAAAAAAAAAATTAAGAAATTTAAGTATGCATGTTATCTTATTTTATTTTAACTTTTTCTGAAAATTTGATTTTCAATATATGGAAATTGAATATTTCCAAATATTTTCTTACCATATTTTCGGAACTAATTTCCTTTATCCATAAATATATATTATACTATATGTAGAACACAATAATGTTTAAAATCAATTTATACAAGTTTTAGATTTATAATAAAGTATGGATTTTGATTTTCTACTGATTTTAGATTTATAAGAAATGTACAAATTCTGATTTCTACTAATTTTAGAGAGATATGTTAAGTATGAAATGTGTATTTTAAATAATTTTGGATTAGTATCATTTATGTATAACATGTATTATAAACATAGTAGATTCAATAAAAAAACATGGTCCAGGTCCACCAAATGGTGATTTTTTCCACCAGTGTATTGATCCTCATAATAAGAGATGTGGTTTGACCACCGAATTTAAATATGATTATTAAGAGATACACGTTCCAATGAAGAGTTATTCTTGGGTTCACCCCCTAGGGTGAACCTCTAGGTTCACCATACAATAGGATTTCACTGTTTCATATTTGATATCTTTTAAAAAAAGAAACAAAACCTTATTAAGTTAGATTATGTTTTTAAAAATAAAAATTATAAAAATAAATAAAAAATAATAACAATTAATAAAAACGAAAATGATCTTTTTTTAAAGAAAATATTTTAACATTAAACTCTAATCCTAAAACCTAAACCCCTAGATAAATCATAAACCTTTTGATAACTTTTATAAAATAAATAGTTCTTTAAAATAAATGTTTTAACACTAAACCCTAAACCCTTGGGTAAATCATAAACACTAAACCCTAAACTCTAATCCTAAACCCTAAACCCTTGGGTAAATCATAAACACTAAACCCTAAACTCTAATCCTAAACCCTAAACCCTTGGGTAAATCATAAATATTAAATTTTTAAAACACTATAAGATTTATCTAAATTAAGGTTTATGATTTAACCATAGATTTAGGGTTGGTGATTATAGTTTAGGGGTTTATGCTAAAATATTTTCTTTAAAAGAATTATTTTCGTTTTTATTTATTTATTTATTTTCTATTTTTAGTTTTAAAAACATAATATAACTTAATAAGATTTTCTTTCTTTTTAAAAAGATATCAAATATGAAATAATGCAATCTTATTGGATGGTCAACATAGTCTCTAATGAATAGCGCTGAATAAATAATCAAAATGAAACCAAATGCATGGAGATTGGAATTTTACTCTTCGGCTGATAATTGGTGCCTAGGTCTTTTACTCTTCTCCAGTATATTATTTTTAATGTACATATCTGGAAGTATTACACTTGGCCACACCCCCAATGATATTTACCATGCAACATATAATACATTGAAATGGTCAATATAATGCATTATCAATATATAAATAGAAGTTTAATTCTCATCGTGAAGAAACCGAGAAAGCTGTGTAAAAGTAGAGAAACATCATGCGTCGTTCGGTGAGCGCATCCATTGTTTTCGATCAACTATCATCAAAAACTCTATCACCATCATCGTCTCCACCGAGAATCCACAAGGCTACAGAATTGGAGGATATTCAGCTTTTTTTACCTAGGTACGATCCTAACTCTCACCCTGGGAAGAAGGACAAGTCACGATTCAGATCCGCAGAGAATGCTATCCATTTCATTCCTCTCATCCTCATCCTTTGTGCCCTAATACTTTGGATGATTTGTTAGTTTCTTTCTTTTGATGTTGTTCATAAAAAGATCTGTTGGCTCATACGTTTTTTCTTTTATTATATATTTATTCACGTACTCTACGTACATGCAATGGAACGCATGCTTATAGATCTCACTATACAGACACATCAATGTGTAAGTGATTCATGTTTTTATCCTGCTCATTGTTTGATGTGTGCTTGTATGTATCTAGGGAGATGTTGAGTGATGGTTTTACGACATACTTCAATCAAAACTATAATCATAAACCGAAATGACTTATAAGGCATACTTCATTCAAAATAACCAAAGGCGCTTACATTATAAATAATGAATTGAGCTACGTTCGAGACTCTATATTATCCATCAGGAATCAAGAATGAAACAACTCAGAGTACAATAGCTGGTTCCAGCTATCCGGAACTCCAGCAAGACACCAGTGGCTACAATCCGGGGTCGTGTGACCACCAAATCCATAGACCGAAGGATGTCCATCTTTCCTTAATTGAGACATTAATGTCACGTCCATTAACCGCGCCGGGTTCTTCATGGTCTTTATCACTTTCTCCACCACCATCTCCGCTGGGTGTTGCCCTGCCTGATAGTTTGATCCCTTAACTGGTTTTGTTTCTCCAATGCAGCTACCATTACCACCTTGCTTCGACCAGTCTTTTGACCTAATATCACCAATATATATAATTAATCAACTTCAAATTATTCCAAAATCTTCATCAACACATTTATATCTTTGTTTTATGTAAACACAGAATTTCTATCCAAAACAGTCTAGAATTCTAATCTTTATATGTTTTTGATGGTTTCTAGTATATGAAGAAGGAACTTACAGGGCATGGTCAGGAGAGACACCTTGGAAAAAGACTTTAATTTTGGAATGATCAATGTTTCGATCAATCCACATAGCCCAAGTCCTAATAGCTTTCTCATACGCCACTAATCGGTCCATGTCTTTAACCGTTACATTTCCATACTCAACTGCGTCCCATCTACAACCATAAATAATTACATTGGTTACATACCAATCTCTAGATCCTACAAAATATACAAAAACGGTTATGAAATGGAAAATTTACGGTTGTTTTCTGCCTGTGTGAAGCCACCAATGCCAAGAGTTGAAGACCAAAACGTCTGCGGTTTTCCACAGCGAACCGGTTGAGATTGAGTCGAGCTTCATCACTCGATTTGGTGGAGCTCCGACTGTATCCACTAGAAACGCGTTTCTTGAGAACATAATCGTTGCATTGTAAGCCTGCATTTGCATGCAATTTATACACAAACCGAACAAGAATTAATCTAAACCGGACCAAAACTTGTAAGATTAAAAGATGTTTTAATGGAATTGGAACGTTACGGGGAATGAGAAGACGGAGAGGCCAGAAGGGCTACGAGTCATGGTGAATTTAGCTTTTGGTGCAGCGTTGTGCAGCATACACGTGAGAGACTGCCATTGGTTTAGACTCAACGAATCTCCTACGAACATAATTTTCTTCCCTTTCACTCTTTCCAGAAAATTTAAGCCGTTGAAGCTGCACGTCAAGATGCACGTTCATCAAATTAATAATAGAATCTACTCAGTAAAAACGACCATAAAAAATACATCACTATTTATTTTGTTCCCTTATGGTTGATTAGCCATTTTCAATATTTTATCGTTCAAGACTTTGGATAAGTTTCGGATTTATGTACTAACAAAAATTTGCATTACAAAAACTATATTACTATCAGATGCATGGAATTCTATTTTTAATGAAACTAACTATTTATCTTGATTATAACCGAGAACACGCATGTGACAATATATATTCTAGATAACATTATATATATGATAATGCATCATACTTAAAGTATTGAGCCCCAATCAATTCTAAATAGAAACCTATGAAGCCCTCAAAAAATAGTAAAAGCCATTTTGAGAATCAAGAAAGTTTATGAAACAATGCTAATGGTTCAGCAAATCGTTACATGTTTTTAAACTCACTAGATCTATGTACCGATAATGTTAAAAATGTGTAGTGAAGAGGAGTAGTAACCTTGGGATATTGCAATCGGATGGTTGCCAACGATACTTGAGGTAATCTTGGTCGGGGCGACCATTAGACTTGCAGTTAAACTGTCTCTCGATGAAAGGGCAAGAGTTGGAGTCATAGAGAGGGTAAGAATTGTCGTAGACCCAACTTCCTCTATAAATATTACAAGAACTTTTGTTTGATGATAATGAAGCATTAGCAGTAGTATTCTCTAATTGGTTCAATACCACTAGCATCATTACCATGACTGCAACCACTCCGGTTGAAGCAGCACCTCTCATCATTGCAAAACTCACAGAGGTTATCAATGTTTTGGGTTGTTGAGGAGGAAGAATTGTGTGATTAATTAATATTTTGTTTTATTTTTCTTGGCTGCGTTGGCTCTTTTATACATCAAATTCGGTGTGTGACATATATGGGGAGGGATATCTGTAATTGGGAACTTTAGGATTTTGTTCTTCAATTATAGATATTTTATATCTTTTTCCTTCAAATTATATGCTAAATGAAAGGAAATAAATAACCCTTTTCCATTTTTGTTTGATTTAGTCTTGGAAATTTAGAGGTCTTAATTATTGTTTATGCAAGTTATCTACTTTTTACTAATATCTAGAAGTTTACTTTTAAAAATATATAGAATTTATTATTATTATTTTCTTCTTTATTATAACTGTTATTTTAAGTTTATTTTTCCATGCATTTAGAAAATCTCAAGTTTAAATATCTTTCATAAAGAAAACAAACCAAACCATTCATATTACTACTTTACTTTTTATGTAAGCATATTTAAATTATTAATTATGTTTTATATTAATTTTTGAAACTAAATCTTGTTTGCTAGATCTTTATTTTTAACATTTAGGAAAATATAGTTGTAGAATTATTTCTTTTTGTTTTGTTTTTGCAGCTACAAATCTACAACATATACTATATAACAACAAATACATGTCAGTCCAAATTCTACATCAAATAATTTACAACTACAATCCATCCAGTTAGTTTTATTTCAAACATTATTTTCTGTAAATTAAAAAAAATAATAATTCAAAAGCAATAAAGCCTAAATTTAGCACCCCCAATTTTTGTTATACTTGTACACAAAGTTGCATGTTTGATTCATATCAGATTTAAAACTCCGTAACTTCCTAAATGCTTTGAAAAAGAAATCTACTTAATACTGTCCAGTTTTCTTCTACTTACACTATCTAGAAAAAAGTTAATTTGTGTGATCATATACAATGATATTATCGAAGAGCAAAGATTTATTTCCTTGTATGAGCACAAAAAGTCTCACCCACAGTCCAATTTCCCTTTGCTCTATGGATCAAAGTCTTGTTTGCTTGTATGAGCACCTATCCCCATATCTATACTTACTAAAGACTGTGTTTCATGTCGCCTCTATCTCTACTTATCATGGCGAAAACCAATGTTCTATAAGTCGAATTGAAAAATCATTTCACTCATAACCGATTTTCCAACTACGTGGACACCCCTAGACCAATTTTTAGAACACCAGAGAAAACTATGCGACTGTATGAGAGACTGATGCTTTTTCGAAAGTGTATTCTCAAAAACAAAATATATTTCATGCGAGTTTTCTTTAGTGTAATCCATAAATTAATTCAGATAATAATGTAACCAACATGCCAATATCAGATAACTAACATGTGAGTTTTCTTTTGTGTAAAATCCATAATCTAGGATAGATGAATTATCCACGAGACAATGCAACCAACATACCAATATCATCATATCAAATGAGGGTTCCATATGAAGTCCAAACACAATCAGAGAAAACATGATAATACTTCAATAATAGATAAGAAAAAAAGAAAGATACATGTTCGATTTCAAACACAATCAGAGAGCAAGAACACCACCACCCCTAAGAGCAAGAACCAAATGAAGAACAGACCCACCCTCTATGTTATAATCTTTAGCCGTCTTGTCATCAGCAAGCTGCTTTCCTGCATAGATAAGCCTGAAAAAAAACTAATAAAAGAGTTAGAACCAAACAAGTAAACACATGACAATAAACATATTGCAACACTGATTTTTTTATTAGGACCTTTGTTGGACAGGAGGGATGCCTTCTTTCTCTTCAACACGCTCCTTGATACGATCAATAGTGTCTGTCTGTTCGATATCAATCTCGATTTCTTTACCTGTAAGTGTCTTGACCTTGATCATGGTCCCACCACGGAGACGCAAGACGAGATGAAGAGTAGACTCTTTCTGGATGTTGTAATCCGCTAAGGTTCTGCCGTCTTCAAGTTGCTTACCGGCGAAGATGAGTCTTTGTTGGTCTGGTGGTATACCTTCTTTGTCCTGTTTCAGAATTTTACATATGAATAATTTCAATTACAACTCTTAGAACAGAACACGCAGAATCTTGGAAGCTTAGTGGTTTTAGTTCTCAAGCAAATCTTAAATCAAATAACTCAGATCGGTTTCGCGCAACCAAAGAGCTCTGTAATTGAAACGAAGTAAAGATGGGGAGAGAAGCCCTAATTGAGACCTGGATTTTGGCTTTGACATTGTCGATGGTGTCGCTGCTCTCAACCTCTAGGGTTATTGTTTTCCCGGTGAGGGTTTTCACGAAGATCTGCATCTCTTTTTGCCCTGAGTGTTACAAATCTTCGTCTCCTTTATCGCTCGAGAGGGTGTGTGTGATCGTATGTATATATGTTATGTATATATATTATACCCACTTGGTCGGTCATCTAGGTAAGCGTTAAGGCTACGCCAAGCCTTTGTTACTGTTTTTCATTCTGATTATGTAGTAGGCCCACTAATGTCAAAATCTGCAAATGATTCGAATTGTGAATATTCTCTATAAGGAGATTACGATGAGAAAAAATATCATCAATTTTCTAGGGGATAATAGTTGCAAAAGATTATCAAACAATCACTCCAAATGAAAATATACTCTGTAAACATATGAAGAAGAATCATCTTGATAGAACTCTACCACACGGATCATCTCTCACCCACTATACCATCATCTCTGACATAAATATTTCCTCTTACATATGTATGTGGAAAAAGGTAATTTACTGCTACCACTAACATTAATAAATGAGACGAGCAACAAAAATGACTCCAATAAGCTTAAGGCTTCTTCTACATATGTTCGAGTGAGACACCTTTGAGTCTCTCCATTCGTGCCTGGAGACCCGACAATGCTTTCTCATCCATTGGGAGAACCACTTGCTGTGGGTGTGGAGTCTCTGCTTCCATTTGGCTCGGTAGGATGTTCTGTTCGTTCATTGGTATGTTCTCGGTTGATATGTTTTCGTTTGTTGGCATCATTGGTCTGCTTACTGTTGACTCCACGGTTCCTGATGTAGCCAGTTGCATGGTCCTCATCCTTTCTCTGATTGCATCTAGCGTCCCAGGATTGATATTACTGCCTCGCATGTCGTCAGTGTATGACTCAGATTTAGGGTTCATCAGAGGCTTCACGTCTAAGGAAGGGATGTCCGAAGATGGAAGGGCTAAGGAAGAAGGGGGAGGAGTCGACAACGGTAGGCTTGAAGGTGTTCTTCCCGCAGCCGCATTCTTCTCCACCTACACAACCGAATGCAAATTTAAGTTAAACAACAAAGCACTTGAGCTTTAAAGGAAATGATTGTCTAAGCTAATGGGAGATTTGTTTACAGACCTGAGCTAAACCTTCTCTGATGTAAGTACGAAATGCTTCGCTAGCATTTTGAAGTTGGGAAAAGATATCAACCTACACAGCATTAACATGAGTTTGGATTTTATAAGCCGTGTGTTGATGAGCAGAAGAAAAAGAGACTTGAAAATCAAAAGGCCATATCAAATTACCTTTGGATATGACTTAGTGATGTGGTAGAGATCGTAAAGACCAATGGTGGAAGTTTGTTTATCACCGATTTTTTTGAAAATCGCCCCAAGTTCCTGCTTCAACTGAACATCAGCAGAGTTAGCGGGAGGTGAGGGATTGTTAGCTGTTGAATCTGTCCAATGGGTTTGGCCCGCAGGTCCTGTTGAAGTTAACATTCTTGCTGCAGCTAAAGTCTGTACGCAAAAAAAAATGAAAGCATTTACAATAGTTACTATTGATGCCAGCTGAATTTTTCTGAAACCCAGTAAGATCAACAAGCAAAATGAAAGTTCTTTTCTTTTGCGATATATTATTGCATTGAGCAATTTCGAATACATGATATTTTCAAATTCACCATCTCAGGCACATTTACCAAGAAATCTGACCAGGAAGCTAAAGGCTGAGAATTTACCTCAAGGTTCAGATCGATATAAGCGAGGATGATGGGTTGTGGCCTCATGTCAATAGGGACAAGAGACAAGTGACCCTTTATTGCCCCACCCCGGAGCTTGACAAGTTCATGTAAAACAGTTTTCACCATCCTCAGAGGTTTATCATCTGCTCCAGCTCTTTTCATTGAATCAACAGAGAACAAAATAGAAATGAGTTGATAAGAGGTTGAGAATGAAAACCTTCACATAATAAACAGACTATATGCAAAATTTAGAAGGGTGCATTTAAGGAGATGTACCTCCTACGTATCTCTTCCATTCCCAGCTCTTGCAGATATACATGGATGCTCTGAAGAAGTCGATCAAGATCAACTTCATATATGGTGCTTTGGAGAAGCTGAACAAAGACAAGCAATTATCAGTTATACAGTACCAAACTATATGATGCATATCTTTTGACCGATTGCTACGTAACCGCCTAACTTTGCTTCCTCCTAAAGATCCGCATTCAAGACTTTCTCTCCTTAGATTTTATTCGAATTGTTCTTTGCAAGAAATTGTCTCACAAGTTCCTCTTGATTTCTCTCGTATAAGAGCCAGAAGGAGTAATTTATATTGTAGCCAATTTTGTTGATATAAAACTTTAAGACCAAAAAAGTATACGACACTGTGATCGTATAGCAAGATAGAACTCAAAGTGTTACTAAAATAAACAGCAGGGCTGGAAATTTTACCTTTGTAAGTTTAATTAGGCATTTAACTACCAAATCAGAGAATTTCTGATTCCGGACAGCATAAACTTCAGCCGTAGCAGGTGAAGGCCATCTAGATGGATCTAGAGGACGTAGCAAGCTAATAAGGACCACAAACGATGATGTCCTTTCTGCATTATCCTGAATTTAATAGGAAAAGAGAACATCAGAGAATTTCATAGTCACATATGAAGAAAATCATTAGCATTGGGGGAATATCCAACCAGGATCTTAAGCATCAAAACATTCAGGGCTTTCAAAAGTTGGCTGCCATCTTCCATGCGTGGAACTCTTTCATCCAGAAGCCAAAGCAAGAGCTCTGTTATGAGGCTTTCTAGAGTCCCTTCTTTGACTGCATGCGCAAGTTTTTTATTTTGGAATGTCTGCAGTAATGCATACTTGTGAGTAGTGAGCTTCATAAACAAACCTCAGTGGCTAGACAGCTAATAAAGAAAAGTAGCATCACTTTAAAAATCAATTCACTCGATGTTACCTGCATAAGTGTGTTCAAAACATATTTGCAGGACCTCGATGAAGCTCCCATTAAGCTGACATCAAATGTCTTGGCAACCTAGCAGAAAAATAAATATGTATGAATTGTGATCAATCTGCATGACAAATGAAAGTGTAAAAGAAAGCTTATCAGGCAAACCTTATTTGCTAAGCATGAAACAAGCCCATCTGCATCCTTCACAAGTTCATCAACTGCACTCTCTTCTGGATCATTAGAAGCCTGTGCCAACTCATGACACACAACTTTCATCCCTTCAACCGACTGCCACAGAAAGAAAAAAGAAGATAAAAGACCAAACCAACAATTGCAGGATGTCTCTGTTACTGACTAAAATGCTGCTACAATGGTATAAAGTAATGTTCCCTAAAACTGAACACGATATTCCATGCAAACCACTAATTCATACTAAAATCAGGCCAGTCATGCTATATACCTGCTCCGGAGAGCCAAACATAATGATGTCCAAAGCCTCATTCCAGTCTGCCGGTCCATTAACTCCAGCGATTGTCCGAGGTACTGGGTTGCTCTCCGGAATTTGTTCAGTTATACCATAGTTTTGCCTGGGCAGGCAAAAGATTGAGTTAAGTTTACGAACAACAATTCTATATATGTTGAAAAACAGATACCAGTTGAAAGAATTACCTTGGAAATAAAGGACCAGGGACTTGAGAAATGTCACCACTTTGTTCTGCCACTTCAGGTCTGGAAACAAAAAGAAGTCATAAATAATAGAGAAACTAAACACTTCGTAAAATCCTTCTGTTTCTGACTACTAAAAACAGAACATTGAAATACTTTTGTGACTCTAAATGCAACATTTAGATTTGCATTTATAGCCTCAAGTTTCAGCTTATCGGTAATGTTGAGTACGAATAAGCCGACAAGACCGCCTCAATGCTGGAAAGGCAATGCAATGCAAGCTTATTCTAAAAGTTCAACAAATTTACGCACCCATTATCTCTAACAGAACGCCTTAATGCTGCTCGTGCATCCCCAGGTCTCCCTTCTCTTCTTTTCTCCATTTCTTTTACCTGATGCAGGCAAAAAGATGAAAACAAACTCACAAACAAAACACTGAAGGGGACAGAATAGCTCGCGCCTGGGGCTTACTTTCCACTTAAATCTATCATCAAGCATACTCTTTTGAGCATCTGTAAGCTTTCCAACATATCTCCAGATATCATCACCTACAACAACAAGCCAAACAATTAGAAAACAGTGCAAAAAAACATACACGAACCAAAAGAAAAGAGTATGAGAACATGTAAAATTGTGCACTAATCATTGTAAGACATTGACATATTTTGAAAAACGAATACACCATAGCTTCTCAAAAACTCATGAATTTCTGCCCTACCGAGAATCTTATAACCCGTAGCCATGGTGTTCAAAGCAGCTTTTCTGAGTTCACCATCTCTTTCTGCTGTTAAGCTTGCAACCATATTCAAGTGCTTCAGTAGTCCACTTAACTGCTTACGAAGACAAATTAGAATCCAAACAGAAGAGAGATGTCAAATAATTTGTCAAGTCTCGCTACTACCTCAGTTCCGCAAGTCTCGAGTAGATATCCGATGAGATCAGTACACTCTATCCTTGTACGGTTGTTTTTGGAACGTAAACCTTCCAAAATATAGGGATATGTCTTTGCTACAGAATATGCCTGGATAATCTGCTTCATCAGCTCACGCATTTTTTCTCTTACTTTTTCAATGTTATGCCCCAACTGCACCAAGCCAACAAGGACAAAGAATTAAATATAAGGACGTTGAAGCACAAAAGACAAGAAAAAGGAAATGGATTATAATAAACTGGCCAGCACCAAAAGAAACTAGCCTAATGTCAGATGCCTAACCTTCTCCGCCAAACAAGGCAGAAATATAGCAGCTTCTGCTTCTGTCAAACAGTATTCCTCATCCTTCAATGTGTTGAAAAGTTCTGGAAGAAAATCAAGAACCTATTCTTACCCAAAGTAAATGAAATTCCATTAGTAATGCATTAAGAACAGTGACAAATGGAAACTGGAATAACAAAAGAAACTATTACAAATTACCTTTAGCAGACAAGTTGTGTTTGATTTACATAATTGCAACACAAACCACCGAAGAAGTATATCTAGTACTTCTATAATATCCTTCGAAAGAGATGGAAGCGCCTGCAGTGAGAGGAAAAAAAACAGATATTAGTGAAAAATAATTAAGAAAATCTAGCAGATGAAAAAAGCCAAGATATCTGCATTCAGCTACCTTCTGTAGAATTTCCAGCCCATCTACTTGTTTCTTAAAATCTGGACTCATCAATCGTTTTTGCAAGTCTTCCCTAAAATATTTCATCATATCATTCTGCACCAACCACCCAATATTAGTTATAAAATGATCGTAAGGCAGAAGTCAATTAATTCCTTCGGAAAACGGACCTCAAGATCCTGAATCTGTTCCGGCCGCAGCTCCTCAAATTTAATTCTACGGACCACCACCCTCTCCCTGTCCTCCTGCAGAATAAAGACACAAAAATCAATCTTTTATCATCCTAAATAATACCTGTAGATCTTAAACCGTAGGAAAACTCATTTCACCTTATTAGAATCCTTAGTATTTAGCAACGACTGTGACTGGATAGCTATATCGTGGACAGACGTAATTTGATCTGGCCTTGAGCCTTTTCCTGGTAAGGCTCTCTTCAGAAACAAAAAAACTAGTCAGTTACGAGTTTAATACAGGAAATATGTTAGGAGACAGAAACTTACAGATCTGCTTGGTTGCTTCAAGGTACCATTAGAAGTCGATTTTGTAACCTTGGAAACACCTTTCGACACTGGCCCCGCCATTGCTTTTGATGATTCGAATGGTTCTGAAAACAACATCGTTAGCATGAACAGAAATGAGAACGACGAGGAGAAAACATGTTGACTGACAACAGGTGATGGACAAGTACCTTGAACAGATCCTGGTCGTACTTTTTCAAGCACAAGCGCTAATGCTGGGCCTTGGATATTTTTGATATTCTTTTCAATCTGAGAAAAATGCACAGAACTAATCACAGATCTGGGCCATGAATAGAATAAGTTAATCCAAGTATTCCTACCGTTTCTTGTCCACAGACTCTTAAGATCTCAGAAATGCATCCTTCTGCAGCTTTTCGCACATCTGCCGATTTGTCCTGGAACGATTCACACAAGCATAAGGGTTAAATTATTAGTTATTACAAAAAGACGTAACACTGGTTAAAGCTCATAATGAGTTATGACAGTGGATGAGTCACCGTCATTGCGGTGCTTGCAGGTTTCAGTAAATGTATAGCATCCACAAAGTCACTTAGTCCAGTAAGTTGTTTTGCCAACCAATCAAAAAGATCTTTACGTCCTTCTGCTCCCATTTTCCCATCTGTTAATGCTATTATAATGTAAGGAATCTGCATAAACAGAACAAATATTTGTTAGTTGACGAAATTATATTTACGAGCAGATTACATGCCAAAGGAAAGATTATCGCAAACCATTTTATCGAGATGTACAGCACCAAGCCACAAATCAAGAGCAGCCAAGGTGCATTCCCTCATGTGCTTCTTGTTGTCACCGAGACATTTCAAGACATCTGATAGAATTCCCTGAAACAGATCACTCAAATATTTGGTAACGTTGGTAGGTAAGTGATATATTACAGGGTGTAAAATAGTTTCAATGCTTGACATATCACCAACCTTGCTCGCCTTCTCGACAGTTGGTCCCATAGCTGATGCAACACCTCCAATGGTAGCCAATGTTTGCATAACAAGATTTTTGTTACTGTCCAACAATCGTCCTCGTAGACCACCAAATAATTCTCCTATGAACGTGAAATGAAAAATGGTATAGACAATAGCAAGAATTCATGACTAATTTTGGAGTAACAAAAAGCAAAGAGATCATGGGAAAAAAATCTTGACTTCATACCAGTTCCAGTTGGCTGGATCCGTTTATTAGCCTCTTCCAGAATTTTATTAACAGCTTCGATTGACTCCAAACGCATCTAAAGAAGTTTAAAATACTCATTTTCAGATCTAACGTTTAAAATAAATTTCTACAAAAGAATTGCTAGGTAGGTACTAAAAGAAAATTCCAATTCGTAGCTCACCTTCCAATCAGGACTCTCAAAGCCCTTAAGAAGTTCAGGGGTAATCTTGCTACTGATATCTTCTCTAGGTAAACTATCTAGCCCTCCCCCAGAGGTTGATGTTGAAACTGACGTCTTAACAACTCTTTTTGGAGCCACAGTTCCCTGATGAACAGAATATAAGAACAGCACGGAAAACAAGAATTTGAACAATCAAGGCAATCCACACAAATGTACCTCAAAAGGGTTTTTCTCATACTCAGTGTCAAGTGCACTGATTAATGCAGGTTTGACATCATTAAGAAACCCTTTAATGTCTGCAGACAGAAAAAACACAGTTTACTTTGGTGATTAGGATAAGTTCTTCTATCAAACACAATACAAAATAAAAGCAGCTTAAAGGAATTTGTAGTGACCTGGACCAACAAACTTGTGTAAAGCACCCAAAAGTTTGATTGTAGCATTTCTGGTGGCAGCTGCACTAGATTGCAACCCAACATCCTTACAAAAATCTATCAAGTCCTGTCAAATAAAAGAAAAAAAAAACTCCTTTGTCAAGAATGAATATAACCTAGATACTGTAGTTTAACTAACCCAAAGATTGGGAGCTAGAAACTTCAAGTTAGAAAAACTCAAAACCTTAAGTTTCAATAGTGAGACGCCAAAGTCATCAACTGCCGAAACCATCCATAACAAGCCTTCACTAAGAACCTTGGGGTTCTTGTGCCCGTTCATGATTTTGTAAAGCTACAAGCAAAACCCCATAATTATCATTTTGATCTAATTAATCTGAAAGCCAAAGAACATTGATCAAAGCAGCAGCACCTACCCTCTCAAAAACAAATCCAGGACCAACTGCTTCGCAGAAAGCAGTAAGACACTTCATAGCAGAAGCTCGTGTCTTTATATCTGCAACTCGTTCACTAGCGCCTGTGAATTAATACAGAAAATTCAGGCAAATGAGCCACGAAAAAAAGAACTGCTGTCAGATTATAGCAATCATCAAATGAAAGTAGCTTTTCCTTCATATGCCACTTACCCGTAATGCAAAGTACGACACATTTCTTGGGAAACTTTGCCGCAGTCGAAGATATGTAAGTAATAATTTCAATGACCTGTTGTTGAACCTGCATTTCCAAGTAATAGGCTCATGTGTACTTCTCAGAATTATTTTAGGGGAACAGTTCTAAGACATACAGATAAAAAGATTTTAGATGGAGTTGAAAGTACACCTGCACATTTTTATCATTCCAACCAGGAACTGCACATAACAACCGAACCAAGATTTCCACCGACTTGTCTAGTTCTTGAAGTCCTTCGATCTCTTCTTTCAAAGACAAAGTTGCTGCGCGGCAATGTAAAGAAAAAATCACCAAACTGGCAGATACTTGAAAACAAAATAAACGATTTATCCTATGTGTAGTAAAAACGAGATTAACCACTCGAGTAAACTCAAAAATAAAAGAAAAAAACATAGAAACCAATAAAAGAGCCCTCTAGATATTCAACAAACCTTCAAGTCTTTCTTTCCATACAGAGCTCTTTAACTGAGAAATAGTTTCTGTTTTTACAAGAGAACCTAATCTGTTTTCAATTTCATCAAGACCCATCTCAGCAGGCTAAAATTGAAAAGAAGAATTAGATGTTAGCACCATAAAAGTATGATCAAAGGACAAAGTCACTGTCATAACAGGTTTTGTAAAGAAGAATCTAATTTTATAAATATGCTAATACCTCAACATCTTCAGGTGGTTCAGCAGATTTTGAACTTTCATTCCGTACAGCAGCATCTTTTTTGCTTCCAGCTGTTTTGGCAGTCACAACCTTCTTGCTTGCAGGCTATAAAAATTCAGTATTTAATGTGAGCACATGTAACTAGACAACTAAAAAAAACAAATTCTCACATCAAGTCCTTTTCATTTTGTTGTTGACCAGGGGTTAACATACACAGGAACTGAGAAAAAGAAAAGTATTTCAAACTGAAACGCCCAGAAAATTGCAAGTTGAAACAGTAACAGCAAAAAAAAAAGTAAGAGCAAACTCACAGCAGAAAGTGCAGGTCTTTTCCCGCTCAACATGCTTGCTGCTGATTTCCGTACAACGGGTGCTTCTGAATTCTGCAAAAACATTTGAAATGGCATAACTATTATGCGGAGAGTCAATAAAACTGGCTAATGCCTAATTACTACGTGAACGGAAATAAGACATAAACTCATCTCCGGGAAACAGGATGGGCATTTAACACTAACTGTGTCAAACATCCCAACACTCAACAACCGAGATGGCTTACCCTTCTCCCATCAAAAGGGAAAAATAGAACGTATTTACAGCAAGTGCGAAGTGACACTGGAGATCTGAATAGGAACTTACCATTGTGGCCGTGCACCCAACTGATGACTGAACTGTCACTTTTATAAGAAAACATTATTCAATTAGAATGGGAAGTAAACCACATACAAAATCTGATGTTCAGCTTAGCAGCTGTGTGGAACAGAGGTCTACATACCTGAGCTTGTACCAGCTGATTCACCACCAGAGCTTGCAATCATTTCTGAAAGTTTCTTTCTTCTAACATCATCAAGTTTTTCCAACGACCTTTCCAAAGGTCTCATACCTACAGACTGACATTACCAAAAAATAATAAACATATAAGAATTAGGAATACGGACAAGAGTCATTATCCACATATAAAATGTCTACCACTGACGATAAAGAGAATAGGTAGATGTTCAGCACAATATAATATTTATACCTTCGCTATTGCAGCCAAAGCCGAAAATGCTGCATCCCTCACATCAGGAGTTCCATCATTGAGACACTACATTCCAAATTCCAAGCATTCAATAAAGTATACGTTAAGTGATTTATCATTTTCGACGTAGCGTGGTACATCGATCAAAATTCAACACCGCTAACACCAACTAATATAATACACCTTTGTCACGTTATTTGTCTTTTCATCACTAGGCTGTTGCATATAACTACGCTTGCATGATTGAGCAACTTTTTGCTATTATCTAACAGTACCATTCTTCTGTTGACTGGAAGTGAATTTAGGGCACATAAATACTAACCTCCATACATAATGGGACATATTCTTTGTGCGCCTTTAGAATAAGAGCCTTGTTACTTGTTTCAAGGCAGAATGTCAACCAGTTTAAAGTTAAAGAACGCACAAGTGGTACTTTATTTTTCACTGCCGTCTTAACATCTGCCAAGGAGAGCAAAGTTAATTGAAAGACAGATGAAAATTAGAAATGTTTAAACAAATCGGTCGCCAAATGTTTAAAAAACGATAAAAGTAACACAAGATCATTATAAGCAAGGCAATAGAAAGTAAATGATCCTTGCCTTCTATAATGTCAACAAGATTTAAACACCCAGCTTTGTACATTGCTTGTAACGTTTGTGTAAGTGCCTCTGCGACTGTTGGCTTTTTCTCTTTCAATTTTTCCTGTTTAAGGAACAAAAAGCCACAAAGTCTAAGATCAAATGCTGGACTAAAACCGAGTCAGATTCCTAAGCTCATTATTATCTGACAAAAGAATATTTATAATCCAAAGACTGAATCAATCTTCATGAGATAAAAATTTTGGATAAACGATTCTACAAGACTCACAAGTAAAACAGGTAGCATGAACCGTGAACTAGCGGAGAAATGTGTTCTTAATCCACGTGCAAGATTTCCAATGGCCTGAATAGCTTCCACTGCAACGGCTAAGTTCACATCGGTGATAAGCTGCGATTGGAATTGATTACAAATACTATCAAATCGCATGTATAAATAGGTAAGCAGTAATAAATCTCGGAATACAGCAGCATCTACACACTAAAATTGTGATCAGCAAACATTTTGCCAATTTGCTAGGGAGCTAAAACATACAAATAATTATAATATAAAAACTAACAAATAACGGCGTCGGCGCCTAAAGTTCTTATTGTGGAAAGTTATCTACCTTCTTTAAGGTCCGACAAATTTCTGAAAAATCACCAGGAGCTATCTTTTTCGTCGAAGCAAGCTTTGTTAGCTCTGCAACAGCCTCCTTGCGTTCTAACCACTTTGTAGCTTTCTAAAAGAGTGGCAAACTTAATTAATGTAACGTGTGACATGCAATCAAAAAATGAGAAGTAAGTAGTATCTCACAGAAACTTCTTTCAATAGAGGACCACCGCAACAAATGATTAATGAAGCATAAAATATGACAATGTGGCATTAAGAATCCACAACTCACCACTCCCTCCCAGAACCCAGACTTTTCCAAAGGAGTCAAAATATCCACAGGATCCATGAGATCATACTCATCTATTTCCTGAGGCGCTGATAATAATGGGTCGATAAACAAGAATAAATGTAAGCAGCTTTCTCAAAATTACTTAACGAAGAAACAATTCATTGATGTATAAGCTACTTACCATCAGCAACAGGTTCTTCAGTGGTTCCATTACCCACCACATCAGAACTAGCTTCTGGCTCTGGCTCTTTGTCTTGCTCAGATCTTAAAAGCCAAATACATTTATTTTAATTGCAGATTTTCAAAAATCATGCTAGTAGTTTTGACCTTACAAAATTCAAGAGGCGAACAAAGTGATCATGAATCGAATAAGACTCGTCATGTATAAAAATTTAATCATCCAGAAACTTTACAAAGCAAATTGAAAACAGTTCACAAATCATAAGCTGCATAAAGATGAAATTGGATCTGGTATGTGCTATTGAGAACAAAATGGATAAAACAAAATTTCTGTAGTATGTGGCAGTTACCTTATTTTTCGAGAAGGCTTAGCACCCCCTGAAACATTAGCAAGCTCAGCCTCCAGCTCTTTTTTCTTACATAATAACAATAAAATCGAATATTAGCGTTAGAGCACAAGAGAATAAAAGAGCTTCTTCCAAAGATTTTTGTGCATAACTCTAAGAAGACAATCTCAAGTAAAATTTTCAAACACAGGCAGATTTTCAGCCAAGGGTGTTATTCTGATTTGTAATCTATCTTCTATCTGTCATGACTAGAAACCCATATTTAATTTCGAACTCCAAAAACCAAAGCAATTTTAATCCAGTTCATATCATCTTGACGGGAATGGCTAAGCTGCAAACGTACATATCAACATAAATCTTACCATTGTGTCCCTCATTTTCTCAAACAAAATAGATTTTACAGGGTCTTTCCCAATCCAGCGGCATAGCTCAATGGTCACCCCTTTGGCAGATGCACGGACATTCTGATCTTGATGATCAAAAAGTTCAGGAAGCATCTTTAAAATCCTTTTGGGTGGAATAACCTTCGATCCAAACTCACTAAGATAGAAAAATAACTAGTGTGTTAATTCAGATAAAAGATTTAGAGAACCAGTGCAGAAAACAAACTAGGACATCAAAACAGACCTGAGTGCTAGAAACATAACGTCTACTGCAGGTACCACAGCCTTTGCAACTTTATTCTTTATAGCTTTCTCCAATGTATCCTACAATCATGCCGAATATGTTAACTTGTATACGGACGATATACTCCTGATACGACGCAGCTGTCGGAATATATCTTCTTGGCAAAAATTAAACTGACTGAAACGATGCATATTAAGTGGAGTTATCGCCTTAAACCAGGGTCTTACTACTCGCGCGTAAATTGAAAGTGCTGAACGAAATAATACTTAAAAACAGAACACTTTAGTAGGCATCTTCAAAAAAACAGCGAAAAAAGTATAAATATCCATTCTTCCTTCAGAAAAAACTATGATTATGGGAGAAATGACCCTAAACAGATCGAACCGTAGTAACAACAACTCAAAACAGGAAATTTAATTAGTGGTGCAGACCACATAGATTCCGTTTCTTGACTTTAAATACAGAAAGCTGAAGACATTACGTCCGACCTAATAATTTGAAAATGCTCCATTCTTATTCCGTCACACTAGACACTTCGCACAACACAGAACTGGCCAATAGAGCCACAAGCCATACTCCACATCACTCCATACATGGTTGCATTATGGTCCATAAAGCACTTTCATATCTATGTCAGCTCACCTATCTAATTTTCAATACATCAGTCTATGGCAAGCAATGCTATGACAAGATAGTGAACCCCTATCTATCATTCTATCTAGACCTTACGAAGAATGAGTGACATACCAAAAAAACATCAACAGCTTCTAACTCCACCCAAAGCAATAAAGCATCCTGCGCCCTCTGCACAGTCTTAGGCCGACCAGTGAGACATTTAGCCGCAATAGCATCACAAACTTCCTTAGCATACCTTCAAAAACCACAAACAAACTAAATATCCACTTCCTCTTCCCATTAATAGAAACAAACAGAAAACCATTACCTGCCAGCGTCTGCGTCAGCTGCCTTCAAAAACGCAACCAATGCATCAAGCGCCTTCTCTTGCACCGGCGCATTGGAATCCGCCACCGTTTTCCTAAACAAATGACCTGAAAAAACAACAACAAACACCAAATCAGAAATCGAACTCTAGAGAGGTCACATTAACAGATCCGCACGCCACAGTCAGATCTGAGCCTCGAAAATCAAAAAGCTAACCGAAATCGCGGAGGCGAGGGTCCTTAGGATCGGAGATAGAGTCGCAGACGGAAGCTAAGTCGACATTAGCCTCATTCCTAACTTTCCAGTTCTTGTGCGAGAGCCGATCCTCCCATGGAAGTTTCTTCGCATCCCTTAATATATCTTCCTCTGACATTTTCTCACAAATCAATCAATCAATCTCCGCCGATGCTAATTGATCTATTATGTATGTACCAAGCCGTCTTCGTCTCGTCGTCTCCTTCAGTTCTCTCTCTTTTCAAAATGTGTTTTTGTTTGTTGCTCGTCTTTGTTAGTGCCGTCAAGAGAGAGAGAGAGGAATTTTGGTGTCTACGTTTAAATCGGTGGTCTAATGTTTTCTTGGAATGGTTTCACGCGACTTGAAATTGGAAGTGAACCACGCGCGTTTATTTCGAATCTTCTTGACTAGTGTTTTCTATCCACGTGGAAATATGGGCCTTTTTAAAACTATTTTAGGTAGGGCTGGACAATCGGGGTCCCAATCGGATTTCAGTTCGGGTTCATTCGGGTTTCGACTTTTCGGGTTCATGAATTTCAACCCTATTCGGATATTATAAAAATTCGGGTCGGATTCGGTTTGGGTTTAGTCGGGTTCGGTTCGGGTTTAGTAACATGTCCAAGATCCAGTTGAACCCGAAATAATTTCGGTTTCGGATACTAATCGGGTTATCGGTTCTAAAAAACTAATTTATACTCAATTAAACTAACTATATTTTCAATCATTTTATTAAATTTGTGTATTTAGCTTCTACAAACCATATTGTTCTCCTTCAAAATAATATTGTAAAACTCGTCTATCAACCATATAAGATTTGTCATTGAACTATATGTGACAATACTAAACATATCATGATTAATGAAAAACCAAAACCTTGTATGAATGAAATATTATAAATAATGAAACATAAAAAATTAAAGTTAACAAAAATTCTATAAACGTAAGAAGTACTATTTAAACTTTAAAAAACAATATTATATAAACTTCAAAACAAATTTATTTGTAACTTAACTTCAAATGTAATGTCAATCATAAACATAAATATTAACTAAATAACACTATATATTAGACTAAATATTTGAGTTAATTATTTATATCCTAACTAATTATTTTAGGTACTCAATAATATATTAATCTGTATATATTATTTTCTTTGTTATCTATTAGATTAATTATTTTCTTTAGTTAATTATTTTCTTTGTTATCTATTAGATTAATTAAAAGCTTGAAATAACAAGCCAAAGGTATCATACAACATAAACCGCTAAGGATTAGATAACTTCATACAATCAAGCTTTGTAGACATCCTTACTCCAAAAAAATAAAGTCATATCCAAGATCAGACCACACCAACGAATGATCCCTCACAAAAATTATATTAATTAAGCTTGATTGTATGAAGTTATCACTTCGGATTCTTTTTTCTCGGGTCGGATTCGGTTCAGATTTTCGGGTTCGGTTTTTTTGTCCAACCCTAATTTTAGGCCATCGAAACAAAACAAAAAATCCAATTTTTGCCGCACTAATTTTAAATTTTATATTGTTGCAATAATACACTAACTCATTTTAGTTTTTAGCCATAAACACACAAGATTCAGAAGATCAGTTTGTGCTTAATATAAGTTGAAGAGGGTTTATTTTTCTATAAATATTGAGTAGTTTATAAATCTAAGCTGTGTGTAATGGTTCATTGATTTTAAAATATGTTATACAAAAATAATTTATAGGTATAGATATTTTAAGATCTTAAATATAATTGTGTCAATAAATAATTCGGTCAATAATGTAAAAGTACAAATAATTAATACAGTATGTTGAAAAGTATTTATTAAGAATTAAATAGATTTGGGTTTCAAATTCAAAATACAAATACAAATATTCAAAGTTTGAATTAAAAACAGATAGGAGAAAAAGTTGGTAGTTGGTAGTGGAACCATCATCAGGCCCATATCAATACTTCACGGACTCATCAAGCTCTAGCCCAGTCTCACATAATATCTTATTGTTGTTCACTATAACGACGCCGTTTCAACACTTATACACAGTCTTGTACGGCACTGAAAATTGTATACACGCTGGAGGGTTGACTTGTTACTTAAATAGGCTTGACCTGCATTTTTGATAAGTTAAGGGTAAACTTTGCAAACAAAAAAAAGAACTTACTTTTTCTAGTTAAGTGTTGGTTGCTTTACAGCTCAAGTACATCTTCTTCCTCTGTCACATTCCTCTTCTTCCTCGTCCTCCTCCTCGCGGATCGGTTCGTGTGATTTCCATCTCCTTCTCATTTCCATCCCTTCGCGCTCATTTCCTCGTCCTCCTCCTCGCGGATCGGTTTTCGATTTCGTTTTAAGATTTACTTGTACGGCGGCTTGACTCTTCAGCTCTTGTACTGTGGCTGCAATGCTGTCACACTTAGAATTTAGCTGCTCGAGGTCCTTTCTTGATTGAATTGCAATTTGCGATTTCAGATTTTGTGAATTGGAAATTAGGGGATGATTGGATTTGATCCGACCTCAATGTTGCGTTGATGTTGTGGAAAGCTTGATTAAGTAGTCTACTTTTAGTTCCGTATCTTCATTGCTTTGTTTCCTGTTGTGGAAAATGTTTCTTTTAAATCATATATAGTTATGGGATCGATTAGTGTATGTCTCTAAGGATTCCCACAGTCGTTAGATTTTTAGAGTTAGTGGGTTATATTTGGAATGTAGTGAGAACCTTTGGTGGATGGTTGTTGTCATGTCAATAAAGAAGATTCCAAAATTTGGAAGCTTATAGTGTAGTTTGGTGTCGTGATTGAGTTTCAGTGACCTGTTCTTGTTAAACAATTCAATGATATATATCTTTACGAGTGTCTCTCTCTCTATTTGTTTCTTGAAGGATAGAGAGTGCACGACCGAGAAGCTTCTGAGTATATGCTACGAGGGAGATATTCCGGAGGCTGTTCTTTCAGATGATTGGTAGTAACTATATTACGCATGAACGGTGCCATGATGGGCATCTGTTTGATGAAGCGTTGCTGCTCAAGGCTTCTTTTGATCTCATTGCTTTGTGCACTAACGAATGAAAACAGAGCGATTAGTCCTGATGGTACATCCATATGTTTCCTTAAATCTCTTCCATGTTTATGATTTCCACCCAGTCCGCTTTGGGGTTTACATTCTTTTTGTTCCTTTTGTTCTCTAGGTGAGGCGCTTATGAGCTTTAGAAGTGTAGTTTCTAGTCATGATGCTGTCGTCCAGCATTGGAGACCAGAGGATCCTGATCCGTGTAATTGGAAGGGGGTGACCTGTGATGCCAAAACGAAAAGAGTTATAGCCTTGTAAGCTTGAAACTTTTCTTCAGTATCCATCTTTTGTTGGTTCCTAAAGTTTGTTGTGCGCAGGAGTCTTACTCATCACAAATTAATTGGACCTTTACCCCCTGAGCTTGGAAAGCTGGATCAGTTGAGGCTTTTGTATGTACTAACCTTATTTAAACTCATTGCTTATTTGAGAATCCTCTCCTGGATAACTTATTTGTATTCCCTTGGTATCACAGAATGCTTCACAACAATAATTTATATGGCTCAATACCAACTGCATTAGGAAATTGCTCAGCACTGGAGGGAGTGTAAGTGTTTTCTCAAAATTCTTACGCTGAATACACTTCGTTACTGAGAGAATTATCCTTCTTTTATACAAGTTATAAAGTTTTCCTTACAAAACAAACAGGTTTATGTTTTTCTACATTTTTCTTGTGAGCGATGATAAACCAATGGGTTTTATCAGTTAAAAGTTTAGTTGGCTTACAAGAACCTGTTCTGAAATGTTTTCTTACAGATACTTGCAGAACAATTTCTTCACTGGCCCAATCCCAAGTGAAATGGGAAATCTGTCAAGGCTTAAAAATCTGTACGCAGTCTTTCTCCCTCTTCTCCTATATAAATTTGTTTAGTTGACCTCTGCAGGATCTGCTATTTGTTATTCCATTAACTACGTTAACATTTTAGTATCTTGTAATCATATTACTCAACCACAAGAGGTTTTTCTCACCTTCCAAGCTGTAAGAACATTATATTTTCGGAATTAATTATTCCTCTAGTGGTGGTAAACCTCAGAAAGTACATGGAATTTGACAGCATAATGGTATTTTTAGTGGTTGAGAATGTGGTAGTAAAATAATTGATACCCAACTCCCAACATACCTATTGTGAACAACGTGATGAATTGAAACTCTCGAATATGATGATGAGTGTTGTGAATTTATGCTAGGGATTTACTCAGATCAAGTGGAACATATTATTTGAATTCTTCTGAATTAATAAACTGAGTTTTTTTCTCGTTTTCTAAAGGGACATCTCAAACAACGATCTCACTGGAGCTATCCCTGTTTCACTTGGGCAGTTAGAAAAGCTTACTACTTTGTGAGTGGCTACTCTCTAACTTGTGTATTTATTTTGCAGCCCTATGTGTATTTTTCGAGTGTCATTGTTGCTAACTAATTGATTCTTCTTTTAAAGCAATGTCGCAAACAATTTTCTGGTGGGGAAAATACCTTCTGATGGCTTACTCGACCAATTTTCTAAGGACTCGTAAGTATACTTCATTTTTACCTCTTTCTCCACCAGAGTTTGGTGCTAAAGATGGAGAAACCCCTCTACTCTTGATCTGGAAAACATTTATATTTTCTTGACTTTATGCACAAAAGCACCATGTTGCTAGCTCTGTACTAGTGCGTAGCTGCACATAACGGACCCTTGAACTGATTGCATTACTCTTTGCAGCTTCATCGGAAATTTTAATTTGTGTGGAAAACAAATTGGTGTGGTGTGCCGAGATGAAAACTCTTCTACTGGTTCTACAAGAGGTAAATCAGCTGTGTTTTAATCAATTTGCTGGTCAGGGTATATGGATCCTAGCTTAGGTTTTTACTAATCTGTAGAATTCGTTGTGAGATGAGTTTGTTTTTTTTGTCTCCCATAGGCCAAGGAGGTAAGACTGGTAAGCTGCTTATAAGTGCATCAGCTACTGTGGGCGGGCTGCTCCTTGTGGCGCTCATGTGTTTCTGGGGATGCTTTCTCTATAAAAAGCTTGGTAGAGTTGAGAATGCAAGCCTTGCTATAGATGTCGGTGGAGGTGAGCCATGCGAACTTATTTTGTGGATATCATCTCTCAAAAATCTTGGAATTCGTTTTTTGATACATTTCTCTCAAAACTTCATGAGACAGTTTTTATTTTATCCAGGTGCCTCTATCGTGATGTTCCATGGAGATGTGCCCTATGCTTCTAAAGACATTATCAAGAAACTTGAAGCTCTTAACGAAGAGCATATAATAGGCTGTGGAGGTTTTGGAACAGTTTACAAGCTGGACATGGACGATGGCAATGTCTTTGCCCTGAAAAGAATTGTGAAGTTAAATGGAGGGTTTGATAGGCTTTTTGAAAGGGAGCTTGAGATTCTGGGAAGCATCAAACATCGTTACCTGGTAAATCTACGTGGATACTGCAACTCACCCACATCAAAGCTTCTGCTGTATGATTACCTTCCTGGTGGTAGCCTTGACCAAGCTCTTCATGGTAAATCCACAACTTCATCTTTACATGTTTCCCTAATCAAGAAGTATGATTCTATTGAGTGAAAATCTTGGAATGTGCAGAGAGAGGCGAGGAACTGGATTGGGATTCACGAGTAAATATTATTATAGGAGCAGCAAAAGGGTTAGCATACTTGCATCATGATTGTTCTCCTAGGATCATACACCGTGATATAAAGTCGAGCAACATTTTACTCGATGGAAATCTGGAGGCTCGGGTATCAGACTTTGGGCTTGCCAAGCTGTTAGAAGACGAAGAATCTCATATCACAACCATTGTTGCAGGCACATTCGGTTACTTGGCTCCAGGTTACTCATTTTCACTAGTAATAATAATACTTTTAGCCTTGTCACACTCTGTCATGTAACCTAATCTCTGAAATCATGGGTGGTGTGGTTGCAGAGTATATGCAAAGCGGTAGAGCGACTGAGAAAACCGATGTTTACAGTTTTGGAGTTTTGATTCTTGAAGTCTTGAGTGGTAAACTTCCCACTGATACTTCCTACATTGAGAAAGGCTATAACGTTGTTGGTTGGGTAAGCATAACGAAGTCTAGCTATGCTAACTTAATACTATTTTTGACTAGTGAAAGCTTTAATTAGTTTTCATAAAACCTTGCAGCTAAACTTCTTAATCAGCGAAAACCGTCCACGAGAGATTATTGATAGAACCTGTGAAGGAGTAGAGACAGAGAGTCTTGATGCTCTTCTATCCATAGCAACAAAGTGTGTGTCTTCAAGTCCAGACGAGCGGCCCACGATGCACAGAGTCGTCCAGTTACTTGAATCCCAAGTTATGTCTCCTTGCCCTAGCGACTTCTACGATTCCAGCTCCGATTAATCACATTCACAGCTGTCTACTCTTCACAAGGTTCAAGCCATTCATTATCTGTATTTTTGGCTTTGATTTTTCTTTTAGAATGTTTCTGAGATTGATTAAATCCTCTCTCATACGTTAATGTACATGACCATTGTAGGAAACACTCTTTAAATTTTCTTTAAAATCTGAATAAATTTTTATTTTTTTCTATATTTTCTCTCATATTTGTACTATGGAAAACTTAGTTTCAGTCACAGACTATGAAAGAGAAACAATAGAGAATCATCCATTTATTTAAACTTTAATTATGATTTTACATCTCCATATAAAATTATTACATTCACTACTCAGCAGAGCAATCCATACGTTGAAACGAAACCCTTCTCGTCTCCAAATCATACCCAACCAAAAAATCCATCTGAGCAAAGTTCCCATAAATAGCAACCTCAGTGGTCGGAATCATACTCAAGCAAACCATATCTTCACTCACTTTCACAAACGCATTCAACGCACTAAGCCTCACATCAGCTCCACTAAAATGCACAATTATCTCCGGCAAACCAATCTCCGCACTCCCCGACTTAAAACAATGCGACAAAAGCCCCTGTGGATCACTCACACGCTTCGCTCCAGTCACCGACTCTTCCACCGCCGCGCCAAACTTGTCGTAAAAACCAGACTCAAGAAGCGTCAGTGTAGTTCCCGAGTCGATAATAATGTTCCCCTTAGTGGCTGAGGATACTCCATCGTCGTTAGGGTAATTCATGGTCCCCGTGTATGGAATCTTTGTGTTGCCGACGGAGATAGCTTCTAACGTCAAGTAGTAGTAAGTCTGAGGATCTTTATCCACCAAAGGAGTTGATACCAAAACTTTACTTGTACCGGAAGGAATCGAGCTGGTTCCTAGGTTTATAACGCTTGTACCATTCATAGTAGATGACTTGTGCGACAAGCAATAAGAGAATTTACTCGAAATCGACGAACTTAGCTGAGAGATCAGAGATAAATCACCACCACCGAGACCTACAATCCCCGAGCCAGTCTCGTCGAAGTTACCACCGTTGTTATAACCGCAACCAAACACAGTTCCGGGAAAAGAAACAGGGGACCCTGAAGCAGAACCAATAGAGATAGTCTCCGTAGCAACGTCACCTTTCGTGAAAGACTGGTCTCCGTACGAGTAACGGTACTTACAAACATCTTTACCTTCGTCGCATCCACGTTCGTTGGTAGACAAAGCGTTACAGTGACGTGACTCGCAAGTCTCGCTTTTGTAAGAAGAGGATTTNCGGGAAAAGAAACAGGGGACCCTGAAGCAGAACCAATAGAGATAGTCTCCGTAGCAACGTCACCTTTCGTGAAAGACTGGTCTCCGTACGAGTAACGGTACTTACAAACATCTTTACCTTCGTCGCATCCACGTTCGTTGGTAGACAAAGCGTTACAGTGACGTGACTCGCAAGTCTCGCTTTTGTAAGAAGAGGATTTTTGGCTGTCGAAGATTGCACCGTTCTCTTTGTAACATTGTTGACAGGGCTTGCATTGGACCCAAGTTAGGTCGCTTCCCGTGTCGGCTATCGCGAGGATGTTCACTGGTGGTGTGCCGATGGTGATACTCATGAAGAACTCTCCACCTGCTCCTATTAGACCGGACTGGAGATCGGTTTGGTGGGTGAAGCGGCGGGAACGAGAGATGGAGCGGAGGAAAGAGGAGTGGAGACGGTCGGTGAGGGTGGTTTTTGGGTTGTAGAGAGGGGAATGAGGAGAGTCACGGTGGATCAGCTCGACGGTGAAGTGTTTTGTGTTAGTGGATGAAGAAGAGAGAGTCATTGAGAAGAAGAAGAAGAGAGTAACGAAGAGAATAGAGTTTGCCATGTTGAGTACAGAAAGTTTGTGGTGTAAAGAGTGTAAGTGGAGAAGTGTATTTATACAGAAAGAAAATGAGAAAGGGAAGAGACTGTAACGATAAGGAGTTATAGCTTACGTGAGCAGGAGGTGTAAGTCTGAAAGGTAATTTGATTAGCTTTTAATTTTTTTCATTAAGGGTGATAATTTAACGTGAGGTTAGTGGGGATGTGAGGAATTATTATCATTGATTTATCAAAACGTATCTTCGATATAGATATTTTATCATCTTTGAGCATGTATAGGAAGGAGGTTAACGATATATTTTCCCCATAATATATTAGTTTTACATGAAGTTTAGAGTCTAAATATTCATCAAATAATAGTTATACATATATTTCTCCACAAAAATATTTCAGTTTTATATGTTTTCATTTACCAACAAATAATAAATCCACTAAACAATTGCTTCAGTAAAAAAATTAAAAAAACTAAACAATTGCTTATCCTAAACCAAATTTTAAACTTTTATTTTAGAGTACAAAACTTTGTGTTTACAAGTTTGAAGTTTTATTTCTGTGTAATTAAGTTTATATCTTTTGTTTTGTGAAGAAATAGAATGGGATCTAAACTTCATTTAGTACTGATGTTATATAATAGTACACTTTGGAAGCATGTAACACAAAGGCTCTCCTTGATAAATTATTAGTGTATAATCTCATTATATAATCATGATTCATGAAGATAAGATTACAATGTGGATAACATTGCATACTTCATAATTATACATGATTTCAAAATGGGGTTATGTTAATACATGTCCATGATCAAAGAGCAAACCCTCTGAACAAACGAGAAGCTTCAGACTGTGGAGCGCTCTTATACCAAATACAAACTACTGCCTTAAGGATCTGCGCTGAGAAAGTCAAGACTATTCATTGTACCATCATCAGCTTTGTTGATGTCGTGAATGAGGGAATGCCTTAAGCGGGACGAGACCAGGAGCCTCTCTGGGGTTCTGAACATGTCATTAGTCCCAGAGAAGCAGCTTGATGTTTCAGGTGAACTCAGAGCATCTTCTTGCAAGATTTCTCGAATCCTGGAGAGTAAGCGGAACGCTAAACTCGCAAGTATACGTGAATATGCCTCAAGAATTGCATGGCCAATATCCTGAAAACAGAGGAAAAAAAGCCTCAAGAACTGAACCAAGATTTGTAAGCATGATGCCAAGGTCATTAGATAGCAACTGATATGATGTTATAGAAACACTCTCACCTTGCCATATTGAATCTTGGTGGCATCAAGAAACGAATGAGGGAGATTAGAGAATTTAGATTTAATCTGACCATTAAGCCTCTCTGCCTTGTTTATGAGTGACTTAATGCGACTAATCTCAGACAACGATTCTCTAACTAATGACCAAGATCCTCGTACATGGGATCTACCACTACTTTCTTGTTCTGCACTCCTATCTTTCCATGCATAGATAGCTGCTTCTAACCTATTAACTGTCTCTAGAGCTCCATGTTCGGTTCTAATCCTAAGAGACACAAAGATTTCATCTACCGAAGTAGACTCTGAAGCCAACATCCTTAACAGTTCATCTCCAAGCCTTGTCTTTCCAGACTGTGGAAAAAAAAATACATATTACATCTTTACATAACAGCTTACATAAAAAAAAAAACAGCAAGCTTTTTTCTTACCTTAGGTAACGAATCCTTGATAATGGTAGGTAATGGCATGTCAAGAAGCACTTCTTCGTTTATTGACTTTGCAGCTTTAAAGATTTGATATACAACATTCCCTTTCTCAAGCAAGTTCTTTCTTCCTAAGCTAGAGAGCCCTGTTTTAGAAACTTTAGGCGATGGAAGCCACCATCTACTGCTCTCTGACCTACGTCCTACTTCTGAGTACCAAAACTCTTTGTTCACCATAGAGTCTAGTGTCTCCTGTGCTTTCATCAAGATTAGGAGAAAGAAACAAGAAGTTAAACTTCTGATAAAAAGAGAAGGAGAACATACTATTAGCATGGAGTCTAGTTTCTTGAGAGCTGGGAGATTCATATGAATGTCTGCACGGGGTTTCGAAGTCATTATCTGATCAAAACAGGAGATTTAGTTCAGATTCTTTGCTTGGAATGTAGAGTGTATGGTTTTTTGAAAACAACTTAGCTATGTACCTCAAATGATGTTCCGTTTTTGCCATCTAGCTTAGATGGGACTAGCTCAATCATGTGACTACATGGAGAGAGTAACCAATCCATTTCTCTTCTCCATCTTTGCTTGTTGTCTTCAGACAATGGCTCCAACTTCCATAGCTCACCGAATACTGAGGCTGCAAATCCAATAGTTAGCAAAAAAAAGTAATGATACCATTTAGCATTCATTTTTGCAAATATTTATAACATAACTGGCAAGATGAGTTATAGCGTTTGATAAAGCCAAAGCGGTTTGCACACCCTTGCATCCACCAGTGACATCTTCACCGAGTAATAGCTTTGAAAACTTCTCCTTCATGGTTTCAACGTCAGAAGAGCAGAGTGTATAACCATGTCTCTCCTCCTTAGAGTAGAAATGTTTAGGACTTGTCTCAAAGTCACACTCATCAGAACTGTGTTTAGCACTTTTCTTAGGTAACCATTTTGAAGAAAATGACTCAGATGTATCTTTGCTAGATGAACAGCTTGAAAATGCATCATCATCCAGTGATTCAGTCAAGCACTCATCTCCTCGGCTTCTTCCACTTTCTCCTTGTGAAGATTGATTGTTGTTGATGCAAGCTTCTAAGCCATCATATGACATCATTCCTGAAAATGTTGATATTTACAAAGTTTAGCATAAGCTCTTTCAAATATTGAAACATAAACATAATTAATGAGTAGGAGTCAAACGTGAATCACACCTATTTTGAGCCTCCTAAGCTATAATTTGCAGATATGAACAAATGTTAGAAGAAGTATACAAGCTTCTTCTGGTATATTTCATCTTAAAAGCCATATTAGTTTTATTAAAAGATCAGAGGTTGGACCACAAAAAAAGGAAAAAAATATATATTATCATTAAGGAATAATGTTATCATCAGAGAGGAGGACCCATGCAGACTGTGACCATGAAGAAACTCCACCTCGCACAATCCTCTTCTTGTCTCTTTTACCATGTGGGGATGAAAGAAACAGACTTAGTAATAAGATTTTTATGCAGATTAAGAAAGCTACCATAGAAGGAAAAAAACAATGTCAGAAACCAACAAAAGTTTCTGTGTTCCACGAATCTGTAACTTTCTCATAAATAAATCAAAGTTTTTTGGCTAAATGTCACAAAAGGATATGTTTACAAAAATTAGATAGCCACTCCATGTGCTGGCACTTTGAATTGGACCCACCATGAAGTCTTATCAAGTGTTACTTACTATATAGCATTTTCTCAAACCTGCATAGACATTATGACATTGTTTATTGTTCAAGTACCAACAATCTGTTTAGGAGTGCATTTTACTCATAGACCAAATTTAAAACTGGTGAATGAGGGGGGAATTGGCTTATTGTCCTTTACTATGGGTGGCTAGCATCTTTACAAATTTTATAAACTGGTTAATCAGTGGACCGTCGGCTTACTGGTCTTATAGACCATTGGTGTCTATCACCTTTACAAATCTATGGCTGCCATGATTGATAAAATGGGCTTTCCTGACTGACTAGCATTTATGGATATACCCATTATACTTGGCCCATCTTATACTCGCTCTCTTTTACAGACTACAGTTGCTTTCTTTTCTACTTTTTGATCATGTGACAACCTATTTTGTAGTTAAAAAGATTAAACTGTTTTTGTAGGAATGTTAATCATCTTTTAAACTGTAATGCACTTTTACTTTTCCATTTCACAAAGTATTTTTTAAGGTGTTTCGTTGTTAAAGGAAAAAAAACGCTTTTCAAAGTAACTTTTAGTAACAGATTCACTTTACCAAATGTAAATCACAATAGAATTTTAAGTGTGAGTTTTATAGTGACTCAGACTCTCATATAGTGTTATGTGTATATTAAGTTTAGACGAATCTGTAGTGGTATGCATAAATTAGTTTTGGAATTTTCAAGCCACAATATTTATCTTAGTTATGAAATTTTTCGGCCGGCTTTAGAATTGTTTAGCAGGTCAATAACATGATACGTATCAACAAAAGAAAAAAAAAACATGATACGTAAAACCATCCCTCACTTGAACCCTTACCGCTTGGTAGTTAGTCGCGCTATTGATTCAACGATTACTAGCGGATGAGTTGTCAAGAAGGTAACATGCTGATTTAAGCATCCTATTGGAAAAGTTTTCAGAAAATCACATTGATGTTCTAAATAAACCATATTTCTTCTTTTTATTTACAAGTGTTTTTTTTAATCTAATGAACGGACCCAAGCTAACTGATTTCCTGCAAAATATAGAATATGGCCACACTAAATTTATATTGAAACATGTAACTAGGACTCTATGAGTACCCTAGCTTTCGACAAAAAAGGTAGAAATATGAATTTTTGTTATTCTTTATTTTCATATCGTGTGATATAAAGTTATGGTTTGATTTAGAATAATGGTCTGAGTTTGCAAGATTCGAGATACAGAAATTAAAGTAGTCTTTTTGTGAATATAAACGTACGTGAAATCGAATATATGATCAATATGTATTGCCACTTAGCTTTTATGTGAGGGTTCCTTTGAATAGACCATTTGAGGTAAGGGTTTCCTTAACCGAAAAAGACTTAATCTTAGTGATGGTGACTGCTAATAATTATTTTTCTATTCTGTCTGGCTGGAATTCAAAGTTCGCATGATGTTTTTATTAAAAAAGTTATATGTTTATATAATCAATCTACTTTTAATTTATTTCTTTATTCTCCATTTTTCTTTTCATACCACAAACGCTAATCATTTCCAAATCTCGAAGTGAAGTCTAGCCTATGTACAGCTCTACGCATATTTGACAAAAAGACCTGTGATTTTCGGAAAGTTACCTGTTCGAATATCTGTGGTGAAAATAATATATTAATAAGAACGACTTAATCTGACGTTGTATTCAACATTTAGATATATAAGTTTCTACGCCGAACTCAGAATTACATGTTTATTTGTTTTGGCAATGTAATGAAAAGGAAGGGAGTGGACTGTGGGCATCATGCAAAAAAACATGTACAAAGAATTCGAAGCAGTCATCATCATGCATGTTTGTAATACTTCAGTATTTAATTTTTGAAAATCTGAAATATTCATGTGTCATGAAAACTGTAGAATCTGGATTGTACGTACCATAATTTGCTATTTCTGCGATAATACATGAAAGTTATTATTTTAAATCTTTCAATCTACAAAACTTGTTACCAACAAAAAGAATGCAAAGTTGGATAATACCTAATTTTCATGAAATTTCAAACATACTAAACGTTTAAAGATCTCCTAGACGTGATTTAAAATGTCAAATATAATAGAAAAGTCGCTTAATTGAAAATTATAAAAGAAACTAATTGTGTTTAAAGTTGTATATATTATATTAAAATCCATAATATATAGCAAATAGTTTATTTACATAGAGAGAACGCAGAATGCTATAACAAAACGCTTTGATCATTTTACCCACCAAAAAAAAACGTTTTGATCAGATTAAACAAATATACATACCGCGCGAACCTAACTAATATTAATAATACGTAGATATATATATTTGTCATAGGGTTGTCTTATCAAGAACAATGCCCGCGCTTCTTTTGATGAATGGCTTAGAAAATAATATGCGATCAATGAGCATAAAACTTTCCATTTTTGGAAAATATTCGACGGCGAATACTCTTTCTCTTTATTTCAAGCCAAAAACTAAAGCGTGCAAGGTATAATACGGCGGACAGTTAATGTGATCCATGTGTTAATACAGTAACAGAGGACCAGCTTTACTCAATACAGTTATACGTACGGGATATATGTAAATATATATATATATATTTATTTTTTTATTTTTTTAATTTTTTTGAAAAAGGTATGGATATATATAATTTCTTTTTGACAGAAGAAAATGTCTCTTTATCTAAAATATTTGATGCGTCTAAATTATGTATGGGCTCTGTTTAAAAATATTAAAAGTATATTTAACTATGTAATGAAGTATTTTAAAAAAAAATAAAATATAGCTCTATTTATATATAGTTGATACTTCTTTTAGATTTATAAGCTCTAAACTTAGAAATATATAAAAATAAAATAAAATAGAGCATAATTTATATGTTTACTTTTACAAAAAAAAATATTTTATTTTATTTTTAGATTCGAGTCTTATTTGATCGTTCTATTTGTTCATGTTATTAGATGCCCTGAAAATAACACAAGATCATACAATTTGTTCCTAAGTAAATAGATACATGAGATCATTCAAATTTGGATTTTGGGTGTTTGTTTTTGCGAATTGGGTGTCTTTTCTATGGTTAGAATGCTTAAAACTCTTCTTATCAAGGGGCATGTATACTCAACCTCCAAATTAAAAGAAGTTAGATGTTTAACTAAAACTTGAAACATAAATGAATAAAAACACGTGGAATAACTGCGGTGCTGTTCTAATAATAACAAAAACATATATAAGTAGAAAATTTATATATTATTAATTGTGGTACGGTGTATATGTAGTCTGTAACATTTGAACCGGACGGCACCCTATGTATGTGTCTATATGTAGACAGTAAATATAACGGTCAAGTCTTTTAGTGCTAGTACACAGTACACCTCCTTGCCCACTTTGAAAAGAGGTATTTAAGAATATACTCTTACTTCAAGAACTCTATATAAGGGCCCTCTACCCTTCGTTCCTTCTTAAATTTCACACTTCTCTTTTTTTTTTTGTGAGAAGCATTCAACCAAACAACCACTTAAGCATACATTTTAAAAGGTTCTTAAGTTTAAGATCTTAATAATAACCAAAACCTAAAGTTCTCAGTGATGGTGAATCGTTGTTTTTCAGCCAAGGTTTTGTCTGGTTTTCTTATAATTCTGCTGGTGATACAACTACACTTTGAGACTACAACAGGAGCTCGACATGCACCGGTTGTTTCTTGGTCACCACCTGCGCCACCAAAAGATGATTTTGTGTGGTACCACAAGATTAATCGCTTCAAGAACATCGAACAAGATGCGTTTAGACCAACTCACCAAGGCCCTAGTCAAGGTATCGGACACAAGAGCCCTCCTGGAGCTTCTTAAAATACCCATTTGGTTTTTGAGAAATTTACCTCTTTGTCACTACTTAGAGTTCGCGTCTGTTTTTGATATTTTGTGTGCCGTTATTAATTACGTTGGGAGAAAAGAAGAAGAAGAAGTGCTTACTAGTTTCTTGTGGAGAAGGGATGAACGTGATTCGAACAAGAAATTAATTTCAGATTTTGTTTTTCAAGTGATACTTCGTTCTTTACGAAATCCTACGAAGACATCTCTTGCGCTGCTTGTAGTTTTTTTTTTTTTTTGGGTGTTTTTGTTCTACGTTGAGACTTGAGATGTCCATTCTTTTTTAGTCGATACGTAGTTATTTTCTCGGTTTAAAATAAATTTAATAATTGATTGCATTCATCTTTTTAGCCACAAACAGTAACTCTATTATATATAGGTAAAAAAATTTATAATGAAAATTATGAAAAGTTTTGCATCATGTACATGTGTATTATATATAAGGTTTGCTGGCTAGATCTGATAATTATCGCCACGTCGTTATTCGTTTTGTCCCAAGTTACTGATGTTACGTTAAAATACAGTTTTTTTTCGTAAAAACGTTAAAATATGATTTCACGAAGAAATCCATCCGAGTGCCTTTACTCTTTAGATTAATTATAAAAACAAATTCATACAACGGTTCGTTTGAGTAAAAACATTCCCATGTATTGGATTAATTTTGAACCAGGCTAGTCATGATTGTGTTTATTTGGATTTAGTAAATATGAATTAGCGTTATTCGATCGAATTTTAGGTTAACAAAGGTTATCTTTAAAAAAGTTTTTAGCAGAACATATTGTTTTATTTGAAAAGGTAATATTCTCGACAAAATTGAGCTGTATATTTTAGATTGTGTAGATGTTTGGTAGCGACTCGTGTACCATCAATATCATGGTTATACAACAAGCATATAAGCTTTAAAATGATACATAAATGCGACTGTACCATCAGTCCTAAAAATAACACCAGTAGCTGAATTAACAAAAGAGCAAATTTGCTCAATATACCAAAAAAACTTAATAGTAGGGATATACCATGGTTTTAGGGGAAAACATAGCGAGAAAATGAGAAGAGATAAGAGAGAAAGAGGGTAGATAATTAATTTATGGGTTTAGTTTGTATATAGGGTGCAAATTCTCTTAACAAAAATATATAAATAATAGACGGTTCACACTTTCACATTTTTAAAAAGGAAGAAGTAATTCTGCCAAATGCATAACATTAACGTAAAACTAAGAATTTGATATTTCAATTCATTTCGCAGTTTTATCTTTTATAGCTGGATTACAGAAACTTTTTTGTTTAATAGTAACTTTTTTTGTTCAGCTTTTAACAACTCTATACTTTTCGTTTATTTAATTTATAATTTTTCTGATTTCCATGATTATATTTTATATAGTTGAGCTATAATGCGATTCAATTATTCTGTTCCCTAATGTTTAAAATACCAACTTGTTAGTATGCCATTTGGTACCTGTTCAATACAATGAACTGGAAATATAATCTAGGGTTGAAAAATAAGATATTTTAGATTAATTGTCGTGGATGACAAAACGCTTTTTCTTTGAAGTTGGATTTAGCAAAAGGTTAGTCATGATATGATACATAAATGGAACTTGTACTAGGTTATTAACAAGTTGGTGCCAACTATTTAATAATTTAATTAACAGTAACACATTTGTTTTAATATAATATTTCAATATGAATAACAAAGATTATAATTAATGTTTCTGACAAAAAGCTAGTTTCAGTTCAACCTAGTTGTTAACATATTATTATGTAAATGTACACAAGAAATTTTGTTTTTGAAGAGTTTTGTTTTAATTTAGACACTTTTAATTATAAAAGCACTTTATAGTGCTTGAAATTCATTAAAACCAAGAAAACTAACAATCACTTTAAAACTAAAAATGTAAATACTTAAGCAAAATTATATGTTTAATGTAACATTGATATAACCATCAGCAGCAATAGAGAATCTCCACCGTCAAACCTTGTGTTTGGCCAAGTTTATTGCCACAAACCTTGAGTGTAGACCAGTAGTAAAGTTAAAGCTTCTAAATTTACCATGAGATAAGAAACAACATCGGCTGGGATGGATATAAGAGAAATCGAACAAAATTGGAGTGCGTTTCTTGTTTATGAACTTATTTTAACCTTTATTTTTTTATATGAAACTCCTTTTCTGTTTATGTTATTTGTTGTATATGGAAGTGATAAATAAAATTTTGTTATATGTATTTTTGTGTTCTATTTTGTTGCATCAGTAGTCCAAAATCTTTAGAAGCTGGATACATAATCTTCCATGTAGCTAAAATCCATGCATGTTCTTTTTCTTTTGAAAGAAAATCCATGTTCTCTTTTGTTATTTCTTTTTTAGAATATGATTCTTATGTGATGAACATCCTTCTGTGAATAAATTACAATAGACATAATTAATAAAATGTTGTCAATGTTTCTGATTTTTTGTTCAACTGCATAATGGATCATCTGTTTATTATAGTACCCACTGAAAATTTAATGACTAATGTCAGTCTGAAAATGAATCATATGAATATGATTACCTATTTTTATGGATCTGTGAAGCATATATCTAGATGTACAACATGAATGAGGAATTACAAGAAAATATTATGTAGCAACTTTTGTGGTTTTGTATGTGATTATATTTGTGTAGATAATTGATCATGAACACAATCACATGTACATGGTTGTGTGCTGAGAGACCATGTAGCCATAAGCCATGTCGGAATCTTATCAAATTTTATGATATAGTTATCGGAATAGTGGAAGTCAAATTACACCAGACTATAAATCAGGCAGGTTTTGTTGATTTTAGGTGGATATCTGCCAGACTTATCCTATTGACAATGATCTGCACTACTCTATTCTATCAGATGATTGTTAAGAACAAGTCTCTGAATAATCATTTTGCGACCTTCAAGATCGAGTCATTTTTCTCAAAATGGAAATTTCCATTACTCAATATAATCTTTCTTGAAGGGCCATGATTTTAATACAGAATCACAGATATTAGAAAATTATAAACAACATTAGATGTCGGAAAAAAAAAAAAAAAAAAAAAACAGCATTAGAATACTTTTGGACTTGTTATAATCAGCACTAACGCAAATGGGCCGTAAGTAAACTACGGTAGATGAAAGCCCATCAAATCTAAAGCCTGATTGCTCGCTTCTTCTATGGACGTACTGTATCCTAATTATTGTTTTGGATTTCACTGAATGATTTTTCCCAGTTATCTCTTTCTGAAACCATAAGTTATCCTAAATTTTTAACTTCAAAAGAAAAATGTATCTACACTATTACTTCGGTAGATTTTGTTTTAATATTAGGTTTATTAATCCAAAACTAAATTTAAAGTTTATGTATTAGCTTTTTTTTTTTTTTTTGTCGACATTTGCTTCCTTTTTTTTTTTCTGAAACAACAATGTATTTGTTTCTTTTTTCCAATTTTATAGTTAGAAAAATATTATTAGCTCTAATATTTATACATTTATACACAACATCTCCACTATGTTGCATTACTTGTGAGGACTCAATGATCAGGTTTAATAATATAAACAAACAGATAAATAAATTTTAACAGGAATTCTACTGATTATGACCGAAGCTGAAGAAAAACAAAGTTGACCAGACTACCTAACGATCAAATCGAATCGAAGAAGACAAGAACCCAAAACCGAACAAACACAGCTTCTGTAATGAATAATTGAGGAGGAAGAAAAAAGACGATTTAAAAATTTCGAGAAATGGTGGAGGGTTGGCGAAACGGGTTACGCGAGGCGACGAATTCGAAGCCTCTGTTCCTGACGATCTACGCCACGGTTATCATCGGAGTTCTCGTCTCTTCTTTCTATGTCTTCTCCGCTATTTACTCTCCCACCAATGGCTCCACTTCTTGGCTCTCTTCCCCTCCTCTCTCTAGTAACCACTCTCTCTAATCTTTCTCTCTATGCTTGCAAAATGCTTAATCTGCTTCGAAATTGATTAAAAGTTGAGATTTTTAAACAAAAAAAAAAAAGAAAAGTTGAGATTTTTATGTTATGGGTTTGATTAGTAAACAAATTGATGTCTAGAGGTTAGGTTCTGATTCTAATTCATAGCTCACCGTTGACCTTAAATTTGAAATGGGTTTTGACTTTTGATCATTTTATATAAATTGCCTAGGATAACTGAATTGAATATCATATATATTGTGTGGCCTTCTCTCTCTGTGGATTCGATCCCTAAGTATTACAGTAATCAGTAGTTCGAGGGTAATTTGAGTGCGTACCAACTTTCATTTTCTTGTGGAAGTTGATTCTCATCGCAGCTTTTGTATCTGACCACTAATGTACTTGGATCTTACATTTACTAGCATGCTAAAGTTTTTGTCTTTTTTCTACTTTTAAGTATATAGTTTTGCTATTTGAATGTTCATGGTATCAGGCTAGATAAGCAGCAAGCAGCAAGAAGCTTTAAAGTTTTCTTTTTTATTTTGTTCATTATGTACATTGTATTCATGAGTTTTTAATTTTTAGCTGCTGGAAGAGTCCACCAGCTTCCACAAGAAAATGCAACGTTTCAGACACCAGTTGTACCACCACCACCACATGCACTGCCATCGCCACCTCCGGAGGAAGATCAAGGCAACTCCTTGGGTAAAATCTGGGTGTCTCCTCCTAAAGACAAGAAGATGCCACCGCTTGAGACGTTTAAACTGACGAAAGAGTTGTTTGGGGAAAGAGTTAAGGATAATGTGATAATAGTCACTTTTGGGAACTATGCTTTTATGGATTTCATTTTGACTTGGGTTAAACACTTGACTGATTTAAATATCTCCAATCTTCTAGTTGGTGAGTTTTTTTCTCATTGAACATTTCACTGTCTTTCTTTAAGTTAGTAACTCTATGTTATGGATACAGGTGCAATGGATACAAAGTTATTAGAGGCTTTGTACTGGAAAGGAGTTCCGGTGTTTGACATGGGAAGCCATATGAGCACAGTTGATGTTGGGTGGGGTTCCCCTACGTTTCACAAAATGGGAAGAGAGAAAGTTATTCTCATAGACTCTGTCTTGCCTTTTGGTTACGAGCTTCTAATGTGTGACACTGACATGGTGTGGCTTAAGGTACTAATTCAAAACACAATCAATACTTCCTTGTTAGACTCTCTTCTGATAATTGTTTATGTGACAGAACCCTCTCCCTTATTTGGCTCGGTACCCGGAAGCTGATGTTTTGACATCAAGCGATCAAGTTGTGCCTACAGTCATAGATGACAGTTTAGATATATGGCAACAAGGTAAAGATATAATCTAGAGACATGCATCTGCTCACACGGCTACTACTAACTGTTGATTGTTTTTTTTTTCTCTTGGGACTTTGAAAGTTGGTGCTGCCTACAACATAGGGATTTTCCATTGGAGGCCAACGGAATCTGCCAAAAAGTTGGCAAAAGAATGGAAAGAAATGCTCTTAGCTGATGATAAGGTTTGGGATCAAAATGGTTTCAATGAGATTGTTCGGAAACAGCTTGGTCCATCTGTGGATGGTGATAGTGGACTTTTCTATGCTTATGATGGAAACCTCAAAGTTGGGATTTTGCCGGCTAGTATATTTTGCAGTGGTCACACTTACTTTGTTCAGGTACTTCTTTCTCTACATGCAAGTTCTTGTTTTGGTAGGTTTTATGGACACTAATAGTTACTTCTCATTTTCTATTGTAGGCTATGTATCAACAGCTCAGGCTAGAACCATATGCGTTGCATACAACATTCCAGTATGCAGGTACTGAAGGAAAACGCCACAGGCTTCGAGAGGGGATGGTTTTCTTTGACCCACCAGAATATTACGATGCTCCAGGTAAAAAATAAAATACCATTAATCTTGTTGATGTGGGAAGCTAACTCCAACTCATGCAGGCGGTTTCATTTCGTTCAAACCATCTATTCCAAAGAGCTTGTTACTAGACGGGAAGCATACCATTGAATCACACTTTACCCTCGTTAACCACCAAGTATGCATCTACTATCCTTTCCTTATGAGCTATATGTTAACATGATCACCTTCTAATTATCTATCTACCTTTGGTACACTTTGACAGATGAAACAGATTAGATCAGCTCTAGCCATTGCGTCTCTACTAAACCGTACACTGGTGAGTCTAGTCAACAGCTTAAAAGCATATATATTGGTGATACTGAGTGGTTCTTATGTATATCTGGTTGTTCTCTTTACAATGTTTTTCAGGTGATGCCACCAATATGGTGCAGGTTAGACAGGCTTTGGTTTGGACATCCCGGTACTCTTGTGGGATCTATGACCCGGCAACCTTTCATCTGCCCTCTTGATCATGTCTTTGAGGTAAATCATGTCAATATAACTCCTGGTTCTTTCTCTGAAACTGCCTCATAACACTCTGAAGGATTTCATTTACAGGTCAATATCATGCTAAAGGAGCTACCGGAAGATGAGTTTGGTCCTGGGATTGGTATCAGAGAATATTCTTTCCTAGATAACCCATCATTGCCAAAACAAGTAATATGCACCTTCCTAGATATTGTTGTTTTTCGAATTAATCATTTTTTATAAATAGAATCTCAGGAATGACATTGTTGTTCAGGTTAAAGAGTCATGGCTTGATGTTCAGCTTTGTCAAGAAGGAAAAGAAGGATGTGAGGCAACGAATATCACAAGCCCCTCTGGGGTTCTTAAGTTCCCAAAGCGGAGCAATGAAGATACGGTAATTATGATCTGTTTCTCTGTCTATTACTATGGTTAGCTTTAGCCTCATTGCTTTGTTTTTGTGGTCACCTCAGTTCAAGGCGATTTTCTCTTCCTTCAACGATGTCAAAGTGATCAAGTTTTCTTCGGTCGAAGATGCTTTCACCGGATTTTCAGACAAGGCAAGTAGATCTTTGAACCGTGAAAGTGTTCAGACATGTTGATAGACCATGTAGAATCTGATCTTTGGTTTGTGTGCAGGGGAGAGAAGAGAGATTCAGAAGACGGGTAAAGAGGTATGTGGGAATATGGTGTTGTGAGGAGAACAAGACTCCGGGGCATATTTATTACGATATGTACTGGGACGAGAAACCTGGTTGGAAACCTGTTCCTCCACAGACACCAGAAGAAGATCATCCTCCTGTCTGATCCTCCTGTCTGATGCCTATACTCGGTTTCTTGGGTCACAAGGAGACTTAAAGGAGCTTTTTATTTATTTTATACGGCTTTTTTACTTCTGTAAACTGTTACTATCTTATGTTTCTCTTTAGTCAAATGTATAATCATGTTTTAACAATAGGCTTAGACACAAAGAAAATTGTTTTTCACATATTTGGATCTTTATATTATTCTAGCAAATGTCTTATTTTGTCGTTATACTTAATAAAATTTACCAAGTTTTATTTGCTGTGTTCTAAGTTGGAGTTTGTTGAATGGTTATGGTTTCACTTAAGCGAATTCGAACTAAGATTTACAATGTTAGTCAAAAAGAAAAGAAATAAAGTTGTACTAATTCATGAACATCTAATTGTTTATTTTATATTTGAAATAAAACAATTGTATTAGTAATGTGTCACTAAAGATGTTTTTCATACCTAATTTCCGATGCAGAAAATTTGTAACTTTACTTTAGATTTTATTTAATAAATTTTATAGTGATACAATCTGTTTTAAATTTAGCTTTAATAAAAATAAAGTAAAACATTTTATGGTTCTCTTAATATAAATAAAAGAGCTTTTTATTTATTTTATACAGCCGTTTTACTACTGTAATCTGTTTCTATCTTATGGTTCTCTCTTTAGTCAATGTATAATCATGTTTTAACAATAGGCTTAGACACAAAGAAAATTGTTTTTTCACATATTTCGATCTTTATATTATTCTAGCAAATGTCTTATTTTGTCGTCATACTTGATAAAATTCACCAAGTTTTGTTTGCTTATATGTAAACAGTGATTTTAAATTTTAGTCAATTCTAGGCTTTTTAGCCATCTCGTTCGGTATGTGTTCTAAGTTGGAGTTTGTTGAATGGTTTCACTGAAGCAAATTCGAAACAAGATTGACAATCTTAGTCAAAAAGAAAAAAAAATAAGTTGTACTAATTCATGAACATCTAACTGTTTATTTTATATCTTTTATACTATAATGCAGAAGTCAATTGACAATTTTAAGAGTGACATGTGTCCTTTTGAAAAATTTAAAACAAGATTTTGATAATTTTTGTGCGACAAAAGTTTTGTAAAATAAAATGTCTGTAGCTGTTTTTGGTTCCCACTATCTCCATAGTTACTTCAACTCTCTACTATTTGTACGATTTTTGGAAACTACTTAAGTAACCATAACTTTAATTTTCTCAACCACCAATAATGATTTATGTTCTTCTTCTTCTCTTTGACACTCACTACTCTGTTCTACTATTCAAAGAAACCACCAAAAATGTATAATATTTTGGATTTGTTTGATAGATGTGTTAATCTCTTCAACATTTAGGTTAATCGGAGCATTCCAGTGTAAGTATTGTTTACAACTATTATATTGAATTGTGTATATATTTATATATCAATAAATACTATCGAAATTCACAGATAAAACCAATGGGGATTATGATCAATACCGTGGCAGCAACCGGTACCATAATCTAGCCATTGTTTCTGTGAACCAGGTTTTTTACGGTTAATTTCTTTCTTGGATCCTTAAGTCCATATCAAGCATTTAGCAATTTTTTTGTGTATGAATCGCTTTGTATATTTACTTTATTTAATTTTCATTTTTCTATGGAAGGGGTCAATGTTGTCAGTAGGAGAAGGAAATTAAAATGGTTGTCTGTGGTGTTGAGTTGAAGTTTATCAAACGGTGGATGATGAGCCTAACAATTTCAATAATATGTACAAACAGGTATTAAAATAGAGTATGAGTATTTTGTTATGTTTTATTTTTATTCCATCAGAAATAGAAGTGTGCAAATGTCGTATTGTTGTAATAATCCATTGTCAAACCATGAGTTTTTTTGGTAAAAAATCAATCATATAAAAACTAAGAAAATACATATTTATGTTTTTTTTTCTTTATCTATACTATTATTTAAGAAGTAAATTTGCTTAGTTGTCATGTTCTCCTTGATTTTAGCTAAATTTGTTTATTTATCTTATTTAAATAATTTCATATACAATTTATTATTTAATAAAAACGAATTTCTATTAATAATATTAAACTTTTACAAAATAAGATAATTCTTATTTATTATGATGTTATGTTGAAATTAAAATTTCCTATTATAAAAATTAGAATTAAGATATAAAATTATGTTATTAATAATTAAATTAAATCATCAAAAAAAATATTTGAAAAGTGAATTTGTTGATTTTTCAACTTCTCCATGATCCTATGTAATTTTGATCACTTATCATAATTTCTTTAAATTTTTTTATTGATTATATAATTAAAACTAATTTATATTAATAATATGATATTTTAGAAAATAAGTTAATTCTTATGTATTATTTGTTATCTGGAAAATATATTTTATTATATAATTTGAAATTAACATGTAAAAAATCTATACTATTATTTAAGAAGTGAATTTAATATTTGATGATTTGTCATATTTTCCATGATTTTAGGTAACTTTCATAATTATCATAACTTATATAATTTTATAAATAATTTATTATATATTTAAAACAAATTTATATTAATAGTATCAGATTTTTAGAAAATAAGAAATTTATTATGTATTGTGTTGTTGTCTTGAAAATATATTTTTGTATTAGAAATTTAAAATTTAAATTTAAAAAATTGTAATTATTCTATAGTTAAAATAAATTTACACTAATAATACTATATTTTTAGAAATAAGGTAATCCGTAGGTATTATGTTGTCATCTTGAAAAAATATATTCTTATATTATACAATTTAAAAGTAAATATAAAAGATTACCTGTTATTAATTAAATATAAATTATCACTGAAGAAAAGTTATTTAAGAAGTGAATTTGTTGATTTGTTAAGTTCTCCATAATTTAAATTAATTACAATCATATGTCATCATTCTATAATCTTATATAATTATTATATAATTAAAACGAATTTGTTATATTATATTTTTAGAAAATAAATAACTTATGCATTATATTTTTATCTTAAAAATATGTTTTTCTATTATAAAATTTTAAATTAAGATATACAAAATTATAATTAAATATAAATTAAGTAAAACTATTTTTATAAATATTATAATTAAATATAAATCAAGCAAAATAACTATAGAACTATATTTTTTTTTTAATATTTCTGATGTTTGATTTTTGTCATTTATAATTATTTTATGTTTGATTTTTCCTTTTCAAAAACACAATAAAGAAACTAATGAAACATCAACTAATAAATATTCATAAGAGAATTATGTCCGCAAGTGCGGGCAAAACACCTAGTTAGAAATAAAACTATTGTATTAGTAATGTGCTACTAAAGATGTTTTTCATACCTAATTTCCGATGCAGAAAATTTGTAACTTTACTTTAGATTTTATTTAACGAACTTTTTAGTGATACAATCTGTTTTAAATTTAGCTTTAATAAAAATAAAGTAAAAATTACAAGAGAAAAAATACGAAAAAAAAACAAAACAAATGTGATGCGACCGATCCCTGGGCCTGTCAAACTCATTGTGATTCGTGTGAAACTGTAAACCCGGCCCGTTTGAACCAACATCAGCCAATTATAAAATGCCACGTAATCTACTTCCTGGTCACGTAAGAGATCCTAACTCCTCTCTCTTTTCTCCGTCACCGGCAAAACACTATGGGCCCTCGTTGCCGTCTCTTCTCGAGACCATATTTCATCGTTACTACTCAAAAGGTATCTCCGTCAACTCACGGCGAAAGCACATAAACGCCGTCAAGTACCTATATTTCTCAACTTATATAGTTATATATAAATGACTCACGGTCCGTTCTTCTCTCTGTCTCTCCGTCCTCTTTTCTTTAAAAACAAAACCCGGAGCTCCGTACTAGTTACCGGGTAACCCGCTTACCCGGATTCTTGCCCCGGATGTTTTGAATATATTTTTTTAGTATTTAAAAGGTCTTCTTCAAGAGAGTGGATATTGCTGCTCTCTTTCTCCATTTTCATTGTAGGATATTTTTTTTAATTTGGGAGTAACTTTGCTCCAAGAGAGTTACAAATATCTTCAGATTCTGATTTCATTTTGCTCCAAGAAGACGTTGTGATCGGGTGAACAATGACAAGTGATTGAGTTCTGTCTGTTTTTCATCTCCAACTCATGCTCCAATTTCTAAATCATATTCAAGAACTAAGGTATGTATTCGGTAAACATATAAAAGTTACATTCTCCTTCATTTTTGTTACATAACTTACATTCCATGTTTCTTTCCTCCATTTTACTTACTAGAACCAGAGTTTCCTAGAAAAAACAGTATAAAAATTGTGATTCAAAAGTTTCATTGATATTGACTACTGTTCATACTTTACTTTTGCTTTTACTCGACAGAAATAAAGGAAAACTTGTCGATTTTTTTTTTTTTTAAATCTCCGATAAAAATAAAAGACATTCATCAATCATCATCATCAATTACGTAGTCCTTTTGCTCCCGCATTTACTACTCTCTGCCTGTAACGCTGCTAAAATCTCTGTTGGCTTTGATGGGCTATTTATAGGAACAGAGCTCAATAGCCATTATGTAAAGCAAAATCTTATCAAATTTTCAGATAAACACGCTTAACCTGCACAAGACATCGATACAGAAGGTAGCCTACACCTTTCTTTGTAATTCGTGACATTTTCTATTCATTTTTTTCTTGACATGCATTAGATATATTGGTCCTACCATCTTCTTGGTTGGTTTTTAGCTCTTTCGTTTTCTTCAAACATGTGACTTGTAAAAGATTCCATTCTGTTGCAGTCACGTAAATTCGTGTGTGTCTGTCTCTTTCAGTTTTAGATGATGGACACGAGGGGATCAGGAGATATTAACCTTGTTTTTTTTTCTTACTACTTATAGAATTATATATATATCTATAACATATTTATTTAAATTTGCATACCAAAAAATGTTTATTTAAATGTCAGAAACTTCGGCTCGCACCTCGCATGAGAAATAAAAAGAGAATATACATATTGTTTGAAACTTTTGATTTGTGTGTGACCAGGGAATGGGGTCTTTTACTTGGTATTGCTGCACAACAAAGCATTTACACACTCAGTTTAGCCTCTCTATTTAGACCACTTTCTAAAGAAAATTTTAAAACTAAATTCATTAGAATTTTCTTTTGATACCATTGCTTGTCTCTATCATGTTCACATTTCAAAAAATATATATATATTTTAATTATTCTAAAAGACTATAGTTTGGATCTATCAGGTGCTTTGGACAATCCTTTGAAAATACTTTATTTTATTTTTCTCTGGGGACCTCTTCTCTCTGATCCCTAAGTTAATCTTTGAACACTTTTGTCTTTATCAAGATTATTGCCCCTAATTATGAACCTTCACTGCTTGTTTTTAATTAATATAACTTGTATCCCTCTCAACTTTATTTGAGCTCCTGGATTTCTTGAAATATTTTCAAGAATATGATTTCTTAATCTTTGTGGGTATAAAAAATAAAAATTTCTCAACTCATTGTGTCGAGAGAAATCTCTAAACAATATATTCTCTTCTATGTATTCACCAACTTTTTGCTTATTTGATGAATTAATTAAGCACTACTCTTACTGATATTAATTTGTAGGTTACTACTACTTTCTAGCATTACTTAACATTTTATTTCTTTGTCCGTTTTATATAAATTTGCCCTTATTATGAGCAGTGGTTTTAGTTGTGATGTTTTGTAACACTCTGTTTACATGGTGTATAGGGCTTAAAAGGCAGAGCGCATAAAGAAGAGTGCAAAAGATGTTTACTTGCATAAACTGTACGAAAACATCAGACAGAGACGATGAAGACGAAGATGGAGCGCGTGGGAGCACCACTCCCAACACTAAAGAAGCCGTTAAAAGCCTAACTACACAGGTCTTTCTCTCTTTATCTTTCTCAAGATCTATTCTTATGCCCTCTTTTATCACTTTATCTTTGCTGCTTTCTTTTTTTAATTGCTTTGGTCCTTATAACTGTTTAACAATTGTAGTGAAAAATAAAGTTTTGAAAATCCTTTTTCTTTTAAAATGTTAAACAGTTCGAATTAGGCTACTATCAAGTACAAAAGTATAGAGTTTTGAGTTCACAAGATAGTTAGAGGTTTCACTGTTGTTAAGGCTGCAGGTTACAGACAAAATAGAGGATCTTTAGACAAGATCTTATGCTGATGCTACATCACTTCCCTGGAATCTCTTACACAACTCTCTTTAATAGGTTGTGTCAGTGTTATTTCTACTCTATATGTGACTTGACATAAAAGGAAACAACAATTAGTACAATAATTAAAATAAATCTAGCAAAATCCCATAACTATGCCTTCAAGGATTACGGCTGACGTTTTTTTTGTGGATGATGTTTTATCAAAATTGATTTTGAAAAAGGTTAATGGAGTCACGCCTAGTTGTAACATGATTTTTGCTTGTTATTGAAGATTGATCTAATATACTTTCTTATAACAATCTCTAGTGGATTCTTATCTAGACATGAGAAAAAAGAAAGAATTTGTGGTGGGGCAACTATATAGTATAAATCAAAAGAACACAAAGAAAAGAAATAAAACAGAGAGTGTTATGATTATGTTTCTATTCATGGAGAAGACAAGATGAACTATATTATATGTTTCAAATTATTATCAGATCTCCTAGCTTTATTGATGCTCTTTTTATGAATGATTATAGTAGACTCCTTTTTTCCTAAGTTGGCATAAAGAAAAAAATAAATCTTCTTGACGCATTTTTTTCATGGCAGAAGACTTTATTGACTGTTTGTTACCTGTTCTGTCCAAAAATATTCAATGTGGTGGTCCTGGTACTATGTTATGTGTTTATGATTTTTCTTTGCTTTAACTTATTGGTTGGGTATGAATGCAATGCAGATTAAAGACATGGCTTCAAAATTCTCTGGTGCTTCTAAACAATCCAAGCCACCTTCTGGCTCCTCAAGCAGCAACTTGAGGAGAGAGCTGAGGAAGTATCCGGATTACGACGCTGCATCAGATAGTGTTCCATACCCTTATATGGGTGGTGGAAGCACAAGTTCCACTCCTGCTTGGGACTTCACAAGCTCCTCTCATAATCAGGGTGGAAGGGCAGATTCAAGATTCACATCAATGTATGGTGGTGAACGTGAATCCATCTCTGCTCAGTCTTGTGATGTGGTTCTAGAAGATGATGAGCCAAAGGAGTGGATGGCTCAAGTAGAGCCTGGTGTTCACATTACATTTGTCTCACTTCCTACTGGAGGAAATGATCTTAAACGGATACGTTTCAGGTACTTTAAAGTCTATTCTGTATTCTTGTAAGCGGCTAAGCTCTTTGTGTAACCGGTGTCACTAGTGGTTTTGATATTTTAGTTCATGACATGAGAATGAAGCTAAGACATTACATGTGTCCTTGTTGTAGCCGGGAGGTGTTTGACAAGTGGCAGGCGCAGAGGTGGTGGGGTGAGAACTATGACAAAATAGTTGAGCTATACAATGTTCAGAGATTTAACCGACAAGCCCTTCAAACCCCTGGTAGATCCGAAGATCAGGTTAATAGCATCATTCAAAATGCTGTCTTGAGCCCCACGAAAGAGAAGGTTTAATGAGTAAACCCTAATTTTGACTTGTGTTTGTCTTTTCTTCAGTCGCAGAGAGATTCAACATACACAAGAATAGAATCAGCAAGAGAAAGCAGAGACTGGACTCCAAGACACAACTACAGACCACCAGGAGGAAGCAGCATCCCACATCACTTTTATGGACCACCAATGGACGCAGCAAGAATCACCACCTCATCTAGAGACGATCCTCCTTCTGTCAGTAACGCTAGTGAAATGCAAGCAGAGTGGGTCGAAGAGGACGAGCCAGGTGTTCACATTACCATCAGACAGTTACCTGATGGAAGCAGAGAGTTACGCCGTGTCAGATTCAGGTAAAGTAATCTCTCTTAGTTAGTAACTTGAGTACCAAGTAAACCGATCTCTTTCTTATTTGCAGTCGGGAACGTTTTGGTGAAGTGCATGCAAAGACATGGTGGGAGCAGAACAGAGACAGGATACAAACACAATACCTCTAAGGTGGAGGGAAGAAAGAGAGACCAATGTTTAATCTTCTTTAACAAAACATCGGTATACACAAAAACAGAATGTGATATGAACACAAAAATGAGAAGAATTTTTTTGGTTTTAGAGGTTTGTAGTTTAGTTTAGTTCTCGGCGTTTTGACAGATATGTAATTTTTCAGACAGATGAGATGAGGTTTTTATTTTATTGATTCATTCAAATTGTTTTCCATTCTTTTTTTGCTACTAGCTCTGAATCTGTAATGGCTTTGTTGTAGTCACCTCCTGTATTCATGCTTCAAGTCTTAAAATAAGGCTATGAACGTAATCTTGCTAGACAAATGTGAGATTAAAATGTAGTTGATGCACTTGAGGTAGCTTGGAAGGGAAGGAAACTTGTGTTGTTTGGAATTAATAATATCTTTTGCCGTGAAGATCATACATAGAGAATAGACGGCTCAGAGAGTGGACACTGAATCGATTGATCATTGTCCAAGGGCTCGAGCGGGTGTTCCACCGGTTTGAACTCTGTTGTTACTTCGATCCCACGAGTTGAACCGGCTAGGTTATTAAGTGAAGCAGCAAGATCAGTATTTGGAGGGAATGCTCCCTTCCCATCCTGATCATAAGACAAGGTTCATGTCAAACTGTATTTGAAAGAAGCATACACTGTTCAGATCAGGAGAAATAAAGAATCTCAAATTTAAGGATAGCTTAATAATATTTAAATAAGAATTATAATAGAGGAAAAGATTATGAACAGAGCTAATGTTTTGGCTTAAACTAATGATGAGGAGTTCAGAAGATTCAACTTGAAATAAAGAAAATATGCATGTCTAACCATTGATTTTTAGCCTAACTCGTTAGCATCTCAAGGAGAAAGCAGCATATTGAGATTTGAAGATTGTTGTAACATCGTGATGATAGAGAGGAGGACGAAAACAAAAACTTCGAAAACTGAGGCCCAAAAGCAAAAGTGGGCGAAAATATGATATACAGTAATAACTAAAACTCCCACATTGGTAATTATCAAAAATGTAACTTAATATATAAAGGTGTAAATTCATCTATCTGATTGTCAATTGGTGGTTGTAGTTCTTCCGGGTGGTTACCGGGGGTTATTCTACACGTCATCAGTTGACGTTTTGATTTAAATTTATTAAAGCTAAACTGTAAGAACTGCAAAAGTTGTAACAAAGTTACAGATAGTTAGGTCGTTCAGACACAAACTTTTAGTCAAGTAACCACAAGAAAATGGTTTCAACAACATACATAACTGATTGCAAACTAACATGAATAGATTGACTGCAATGGTAACATATAACTAGTAAGATCAGAACAGTCCCAAACATCAGAATTGTCTTGACATCAACTCAAGTGCACAGATAACATCAAGAGAGAAGACAATTAAGCGGTAAGAACTTCAAAGTTATAACAAAGAGACCGAACTCAAGAGAAAAAATACAAACCCTCAGGTTCCATATATCGTCACCTTCAAGAGCAAACTATGAAAAAACAATAGATGGAACCTGAAAAAAGCTTTAAATTTTCTCGAACCAAAGCTCTACTGGAATAAGACAAGCAAATAACGGAGAGAGCTTAGGGTGTCACTCTGTGTTCTTCTATGGCCGCTTCTATTAACTGAAAGTCTGGAGAAAATACCAACCATGGTACTAAATTCGTTTTTTTATTTTTGGTTCCTAGAACTCTAGTTATCCAGTTTTGTAAAGTACAGATTCTTAAGTGTTTGAAATTTGTTTTCTTGTCCGAAAAGTATAGATTCTCCAAAGCTCCAGAGCAAAATAACAAAAGCAGCCTAAAAGATGGCTTCTTAAGAATATTGCAGTTGACTGATGATTATAACTGCTTTATTAGCTCTTTAAACATTAAACTTTACTTGACTTCAACAGATTTTTGGTTATGGCTTCTTTCTGTCTCCTCTAGTTTTCCTTGAACCTTTCTTGGATTTTATTTTTATTTTTTAGCTTTGAAAATCTATATTTATTGATGATTCATAGGCGTTACAAAAACGAAATATTATTACAAATTGAGATGTTTTCTGGTTCTGCTATATTAAAATTTACAGAATAAAGTATTTATTCAAATCAAACTACATATACTTAAAACTAGGAAAATCTTGTTAAAAAGGAATAAAACAATCCAAACTTAATTCCTAGATCTTAACAATTAAACCTATACTAATTACGGATATATTGTAGAGTTGAAATTGAAATCCTAAACCTTATCTTCAGAAAACTGAATCCTAAACCCTTTAAAAAAAGTGTTATCAAGAAAAAGAAAAACGACAAATTTTCAAAATTATGATCTATACACATTATATAACCTTACTACTAGTTTGATTTGTAGCTTCTCGAGGTGAATTGAATAAATACTTTATTCTGTAAAGTTTAATATAGCAGAACCAGAAAACATCTCAATTTTTAGGGTCCGACTGGTTTCCCCGCTACCACCCGCAAACGCAGCTTTTGTGGTTGATGGCGGTTGCTAGCATTTTGCAACAATCACAACAACCGCTACAAATCGCTTCAAACCGCTTTCAACCTCTTAAAATCAAAAGCTGGTTTCAGCTAGCGTTTACGTTTGCGGGCGATTGCAGGTGGGTAAAAAACTATTTTTTAAATTAAAATTAAAATATAAAAATAAAAATAATATAACTAAAACTATATCTACCTTTTATCTTTTAATTTAAATTCACTAAAAATATCATAATCTATTTATAAGAACTTTAAATCAAGAATTTTCACTATATTTTTCAATATATAAATATATAAATATATAAATATATAAATATATAAATATATAAATATATAAATATATAAATATATAAATATATAAATATATAAATATATAAATATATAAATATATAAATATATAAATATATAAATATATAAATATATAAATATATAAATATATAAATATATAAATATATAAACATATAAATATATAAATATATAAATATATAAATATATAAATATATAAATATATAAATATATAAATATATAAATATATAAATATATAAATATATAAATATATAAATATATAAATATATAAATATATAAATATATAAATATATAAATATATAAATATATAAATAGATAAATATATAAATATATAAATAGATAAATATATAAATAGATAAATATATAAATAGATAAATATATAAATAGATAGATATATAAATAGATAAATATATAAATATATAAATAGATAAATATACATATATAAATATAAATAGATAAATAGATAAATATATAAATATATAAATACATAAATATAATTAATTATATTATATTATATTATAATATTTTCATCTAAATAAAAAATAAGAAAAATAATTTTGTTATTACTTATAATATATTAATAGTTATTATTTTTTATCATAAAAGTATGTTTTGATATTTTTATAATGTTATAATATGTTAATATTGGAAATTTATTATTGAACCACTGTATTATCTCATAATCAACCAGTCATAAATGTCCCGCAAACGCACCAGTTTTTAATCGCTGTACCAGTCGTACAAATCGCCTAATAACGCTAGAAACCGCAACCATCCACATCCACAAACTCCCGCAACCGCAATCGCAACCGCCGCGTTTCAACCAGTCAGACCCTTAATAATATATCGTTTTTGTAACGCCTATGAATCATCAATAAATATAGATTTTCAAAGCTAAAAATAAAAATAAGTTTGGATTGTTTTATTCCTTTTTAACAAGATTTTCCTAGTTTTAAGTATATGTAGTTTGATTTGGAAAATTTGATATATATATATGGAACCTAATCTTTGGCCAAAACCATTAACATCATAATCTCACATTTTAGCTTTTGTATTTACCTTTTCAACCGTCGTAAAATATGGACCTGCGAGAATCCCTAACGAATCAAAACGAGATCGTTCTGAGTTTGTTTCAGCACGTGATCGCCACCACCACCGCCGGAGAAACCTCGAACCTACTATTTTCTCCGGCGTTACTGAATGTCATCCTCAGCTTCATCGCCGCAAAATCTCCCGGAGACATCGAAGAAAAGATTCTCTCTTTACTACATGCTTCTTCGACCGACGAGCTTAACACCGTCTCCTCCAAGATCGTAACCACCGTCCTCGCCGACAGCACATCAATCGGCGGTCCAACAATCGCCGCAGCTAACGGCGCCTGGCTCGAAAAGTCTGTCCCTGTCGAGCCTTCTTTTAGGGATATCATAAAGAACTCTTATAAGGCGGCTTTTAACCTAGTTGACTTTCGCAACAAGGTAAAGACTTAAAAGGCTTTTGTCTGAAGCTAAAATCACAGATTTAAAAACAAAAATATATCTGTTTAGGGTTTGCATATTGATTATAATAATGAATTTATTTTATAATCCTTTAGCATTATTAACAAGTTTCTTTGTTGTTTTGTTTTTAATAGGTTCATGAAGTGGTTGAAGAAGTGAACTCATGGGTCGAGAAGGAGACAAGAGGACTCATCACTAATCTCATCCCCAAAAACTCTGTTTCTCCTGGTTCCAATCTCATATTCGCTAATGCATTGTTCTTCAACGGAAGATGGGATCACGAATTCAACCCATCTCTTACAAAAGACTCCGACTTTCACCGTCTCGATGGAACCACAACACGTGTTCCCTTCATGTCCGGCCACTCTTTCAAATACAGCCTCGTAGCTTACGAAGGTTTCAAAGTCCTTGACCTACCTTACAGGGGAGGACGTGGTGACTACGCTCGTCTTTTCTCGATGCAAATCTATCTTCCTGATGAAAAAGATGGGTTGCATGCACTGCTTGAGAGACTAGCTTCTTGTCGTGGGTTCTTGAGTGGCCAAGGAGACATTCCTGGTCACTCTGCAAGTATTGGAGAACTCAAGGTTCCAAGGTTTAAATTCGAATTTGGTTTTTGGGCCACGGAAGCTCTCGAGAGTTTGGGTTTGGAGCTGCCGGGTGATACGATCATACACAAGTCTTGCATTGAGGTAGATGAAGTGGGGTCAAAAGCTGCAGCTGCTGCCGCTGTGATCAGTTTGGGGGGTTGTTATATGCCTCCGAAAGAGGAGTATGACTTCGTGGCTGATCACCCGTTTCTCTTCCTCGTCAAAGAAAACATGAGCGGATTGGTTCTGTTCTTTGGTCAAGTTACTGATCCTTCTATGCATTAATTTGTGTCCAAAGGATATTTCGATTTGCATGTTGTCTTTGGAATGGTCTTTTAAATTACTTAGTCCAAATAAATAAATAAATAAAAAGAAATAAATTACTTAGTCCTGTGACTTTTTTTTTATATTTTGAGGTTTTTTTTTTGAAAGAAATTTAAATTAAATTAAAATTGAAAAGACATTTTGGACAATGATTTCTTGTTTGCTACCTAACTTATGAACTAGGTGATTTTTCCGTGCTCATGCACAGGCATAAATATTTATAAAATAAATATATTATAATAGTTGATTGATATTTACTTTAACTTTATATTAATTTATAGTTTTTATGTATAATTATATTAATGATCTTATATTATTTTAGTTATATATAATTTTAGATATATTATATTTAGTTAGTTTATCATTTGGACATATATATATATATATATATATATTGGATTCTATCTATTTCTCTTAATTCAACTCTAATCTTTTTTATTCTAAATATCTTACATTTTTGATTAATTGTTTTATTTACATTTATGTTGGTTGTTATCTTAGAAATATAAGTATATCTTAGTAAGATTATGTATTTTAATATTTTTTGTGGTTAGAATGAAAAAAATAAAAAACTAAAGTGTCTGATTCTAAATTACATACATAAGTAATAATAAATTTTTAGAAGCTTATGAA